CTCTGCGTGCAGTGCCCCTGCCCCGCCGAGGCGTGGGGGCTGCTGCGGCAGGGGGGGCGGGGCGCGGGGGAGCAGGTGCGAGGGTCCTGGGCTCGGAGTCACCCAGCGCAGAGGCCGTGGCGGTGGGCCCAGCGGACGCAGGGGCTGGCCGCGGGTGGCAGGAAGGTGGGGGGCTCCTGGGGACCCCCTCTGGCTCGCTGGTCTCCCCTGGGAGGTGAGCACACACGTGGACACCCCATCGCAGGCTGTGAGGGGAGGGGACAGCCAGCCGGGCGGGGACAGGGGCCGTTGATGGGGAGCGGCTGGGCTTCCAGCGATTCAACAGTGCGGCCCCTCCTGCTTCCCTCCAAGCGTCTGCTCTACGGACCCTTCGACCCTTCCAGGCGAGGACGTCCTCTTCCGGCCCTTTGTTTAGCTGTCTCCTGCGATATTTTTCATCATCCATCGATTCCCTAAAAGTCTCATTTTTCATGGTTTACCACGTTCTGCACTTTCTAAAAACTCACCGTAGGATATCAGATGAGCTCTCTAAGGATGCGTAGAGATTAAGGTTTTAGGACAAATTAAAGGTAAAATTGGCAACAGGCTGGAGATGCCCGTAGAATCTGCTTTGCTCAGTCTTTTAAGTCGGTGGCACGTTCACAGCCGTTTCCTCGCGTGCAGCCATTCACGCATGGCATTATCGTGGCTCAAGCCTCCACTTCTAGAAGGTGATTTGTTTCAGCTTCCACTTGTTTGTCATAGTTTAAAACAAGTGCTTTATTCTAGCCATCGAGGTGGCTCCGGCGAGATGCAAGGCTGCCTCTCCCCAGCGTCCCCAGGGGCTCTGCCCGGTCAGGGGCCTCGTGGACACACACAGCCCTGCCCGCCACGGGGAGGCGACCTCTGACCTGGCAGGACTCCGGCGCTGGAGCTGCCACTCCAGGACAGAAAATAAAGCGAGAGCCCGCCAGCTCTGAGCGCCTGCTTCTACCGCCCCCAGCAGCACAGGGTCTTGCGTCTTGCAGGAGAGAACGCCCGCCACTCTGGTGGCACTCGCCAGGAGCGGAGTGAACACTTGTGGCGCATAAAGGACTTTGTCTGGTGGCGCTTGGGAGCCTTCTCAAGGATGGACCAGAGCCGGCTGTTTGGGGGCCGTGGCGAACGTGGCACGGCCCTCTCATCCCCCGACCCTGATGGCGGTTGTGGCTGGGGGCGGAAGGACTTCGGGCCCCTGGTCTCTGGGAAGCCTCGGCCCTCGGGCCAGTGGGCGGTGGAGCCAGGAGGGTTGTTGTGGGGTTCCCCGCAGGGCTTCTCCGGATGAGGAAACACCCATGGCGCCCGGGTGACCGTGGGACTGGCCCCAGGTCACCAGGCGTCCAGACTCCTTGCTCCTCCAACACAGATGTGTAGCCTCGTGGCATCGGAGGCGGCTCTGTGACTTTGGAGCGACCACTGACCTCCCTGAGCCCTGCTTGTGGGCAGGGACATCGGCGTCGGTGTCTGGTGGAGAGGCCCTTCGGCGCAGGGGACGTGGCACCAGCCCTTCCCGCCCCGCCCCCGCCCCAGGCAGCTGGGGCAGCTGGGGCCGCGGGGCTGCGTCAGCCTTTCCTCCCCGACTCCCCGAGGAGCAGGAAGCGGATGTTTTCACAGCGCCCTCACTCGCTGTGGACGGTAAACACCCCCCCACCATCCCTGGGACCCGGAGCACCTGCCTGGCACCTGCTCCGTTGGCTGCTCTCGTCCCGCAGGTGAGCCTGCAGCTCAGGGATGCAGGGCCGTGGGCAGGTGCCTCAGCTCCGCTGAGGAAGTGGGGCTGTGGGAGGGGTGAGTGTAGCATGTGAATGTGCATCTGTTCATTACACGTGTGTGTTTGTGTGGAGTGTGTGTTTATATGTGCGGGATGTGTGTACCTGTTTCTGTGCATGTGTTTTGGCATGCAGTGTGCACCTCTGTGCATGAGTGTGGCTGCACTGGACGAGGTCACCCAGCTGGGCTGCGGATTCAGGCCCGCGTCAGCCCAGCCTCCGGGGCTGCGCTTCCTGCTCGCTGGCTGGCCTCCCGTCCCCGGCCAGCCGAGGAGGGGGCGCAGCAGGGCCAGCCGGGGTCTCCAGTGACGGAGCTGGGGCCCCCCCCAAGGGAAAGGGCCAAGTGAAAGCGTTGGAGATCGAGGGGGGGACCCCACAGAGAAGCCCCAGCTTGTGCAGGGCCTCACCCGCTTGTCACAGGACCCTTCAGGGGGGCCCTTCAGGAGCAGGCGCTCCCCCCTCCCGGACCCCCCTTCATGACGACGGCGACCTCCCTTACACACCGGCTGCCTGGGGCGGGGTCCCTGAGAACGCGGGGCCAGGCACGCTGCCACGGGCACCGGTCAAGGGCAGCTGGTTTCCTCCTCGCAGCAGCCGGGGCGGCAGAGACTAGAGGCCCGGGTGTCATGGACACGCACGGCGCGTGCAGAGCCGGCCAGGGCAGGACGGCGGCGCAGCCACGCGTGCTGGTCGGGCCGGGCCTTTGCTTAACATGACATCATTTCTGAGCAGCTTAATCCTGAGGCCAAGAGAAAGCTTGCGGGCCATGGGACGGGGGGCAGTGGGGGGCTAAGCGGGGAGACGCCTGCTGCCCTGGGCCGCGACTGTGAGCCCCATCGAGAAGGGGCCGCGCGCTCAGGTGAAGGGCGCGCCTGGGGCGAGGCAGGTGCGTGAAGACACCGGTTTGGTGCCCGGGGCCCGTCGGTTTCCCAGGCCTCCGTCTCCCCGTTCAGGTGCTGCCAGCTGGGTTTCAAACCCGCTGTCTGTGGCTGCCTCCCCCGCTTCTGTGAGGTCACCCGGCTCTCGGCCGCTGGAAACAGAAATCTTGACTTTCGCCGCAGAGTTGATGCCCGGCCCTGTGGGTCCCCCTGCGTGGCGGCCATGGTGAGCCCCTCTGTCGGGACGCCAGATGTCACGTCCCTCGGTGGTTCGGGTCCCCTAGCGTCCTTCCTGGGGAAGAGCCCTGTGACACCCTGCACAGTCGCTGCTTTGCGTTAACCGTGGATGGGGGCTTAGGAAGGGTCTCAGAAGGGACTTTCGCTCCGGGCGTCCTAACGCTGCTCCTTCGGGCCCGAGGGGGTTGAGCCCCGAGGGCCTCGTCTCTTCAGCAGCATCGCGTGGTCAGCAACGGCTCTGGGGCTGGACCGCGCTCGCCCTCCGGGCGGGCTGGGGGCAGAGCCCTGAGCTCCAATTCCACTCCAATCCGATTTCATGCCAGCCGCTTTCTTAATGAGGGTTAATGACATTAATTACTGTCCTCTTCACGTAACAATGTGCTCAGGAGGAGCTAATTGTCGTGTAATGGCTCAGGAACACCCCAGACCGGGCAGAACCCCCAGGAGAGGGCGCCTCCCCTTCTTCCCACCAGCCCCCGCCCCCCGCCCATGCCGGCCCCTCACTTTCCTTCCATTGTCCCCGGGCTGGCGTTTCTCATGCCTCCATATCGGTGACAATGGGAGGTGCAGTCTGTTGTCACGTCCCCCGTCCAGGAGGCCCTGCCCTGCAGTGACGACGTCAGGGCCTGCTGTCCTCGCGTGTGGCGGCTGGGATGAGCCCCTCCGTGGAGGGCGATCTGGCCAGAGCGGCCGGAACGAAGTGTCCACAGGCACCTTGACCCCGGCACCATCTCTTCCAGGAAAGTATCCCACAGACTCTGTCCCCTGGACACACCCCTGCAAGAACGTGTGCAGGAACTCCTCGTGGGGGTTTGGGCGTGGAAGGTCCAGCCTGCTGGGGACCTGGGAGAACCCTGACCTCCCTGTGGCCGTGGGCGTAGAGGCTGCGCCGCGCTCTGTCGGAGAGGGCACTCGTGACTCTCAGGTGAAGCCCACCGCGCCTCCGCTTGCGGCTCCTCCTCTGAGCTCTCTGAGAACGTGTTTCACATCACATACCATTTAAATTCCTTTCCGAACCCTTAGTTTTCTCTTCTTTAGTTGGTTTCTTAGTCCGCACCTTCTTTTCCTCTTCATTCAGGCTTTCTCCTCCCCACATTCCCCCTATTTTTGTGTTTCCTTTCCGTGCAGCCGCTGGCCTGCCGCGTTGCGGCGGCTTCGCGGGACGGGCAGCCGGGGAGTTGAAGGGCAGCTACTTGGGGCCCCATGTTGCCAAGTCTGAGGACACACGTCTCTAACTCAGGAAGGTCCTCAGCAAGCGCACCCCCAAGTCACCGTTCCTCTGACAGCTCTTCTTTTCTTCTAGGACGTCTGTCTTCAACGGTTCTTCATTGCAGGTCACAAATTCGATCTTTTCGGTTTCCTGGGCGGCCATCTGGGGAGTTTCCCAGGGACCACCTTCCGGTTCACAAACTTGCTCTTTGACCCCATCTAGTCTAGAGTTCATACCTCTTTTATTTTTCCCATTTCATATAAATTACTATACTTTTAATTTATAGGTTTTATTTTTGTGATTTTTCCCATAATTATCACCTTTATTCTATTTCTGTGCGATCCTGTGCCTTAGCTGCCCCATCGTCAGAGTCAAAAGATTGACATAGTTAATTTTAAACTTTTTTTTTTTAGCTCAAGCAACCAAATGACTGAACCAGTTCAAGGACAACAGAATTTTATTCCATTATATATAGTCTACAAATAGAGCAAAAAATTAATTTATTAAAATATGTGCAAGAGAATATACACTATGTATGGACTAATGAACAGCGGGTGTGCGGGTAACGGACCCCGTGAGTAACTAGCTGTCAGACGAGCGCATTCCCTAACTGCCGCGTTTTCCATCTGGCGACTAGCACGGAGGAGCCAAGTGTTGGACCTGGGAAGACAGAGGGGTGGACTGTGGCCATGTACACACCTTCCGGAGGCTGGGGGACGGCTACAAGCTCTAGGACCACACGCTGTGGGTGGCTGACTCGTGGGCGGCCCAGCAGAGGTCTCGCTGCGTGGATTCGGGGGTGCGGAGTGGGCGGCGCGGGTCGCCTGCAGACGAGCGGGGGCTGCGGCCACCGCCGAGCGGGACCCAGAACAGCTCCTCAGAGGGGCGCTACCTCTTCTTCTTCGCCTTTTGCTCTTTCTTTCCCCTCTTTCCTTTGTCCTTGGCCTTCGCTGTGTTTCTTCCCAGCAGGGCCAAGGCGCGCTTTTTACCCAGAGGGGTTTTGGCATACCAGTTCTGAAAGAAAACAGATGTTTAGGGACATATCAGAAGGTCACGCACTCGCTGGAATACCTGGAAAATAAAGAAGGCCTTGCTGAGGGTGGGCGGGGCCGACAGCCACTAAACTTCAGGTGTTTGTTTAATGTGCGTTTCAGAAATGCTCTCCCACCTGTGCTTCTGCGCAGCCTGGACCTTCTACAGCAAACAGTTCCAGAGAACCACAGGCCCAGTCTACCCCACCACGCTTCCCAGGGAAGCCACCTGTGTCCCCGGGGGTCCTACTCTGCCCCGAGGCCATGGGTTTCCTTGGTAATGTGAACGGCCCCACGGTGCCTCCTAGCGGGACTGGTGGCTGTGTGCGCGTCATGGGGGCCGTGCGCACATGCTAAGGGAGGCTGCCCGAAGGCCCGGCCGTCACAGAGAAGCTGCAACAGCCACAAAGCGCTGAGTCACCGTGGCTGGGCCTGGGCGCTGTTTGCTCAGCGTTCGCATTTGATTTGAAGCCTGTGAAACGTTTTGGTTTAGAAATGTCATGGTAGTAATATTTCACTGCCTGGCTCTACTACATGCTCATTATTCTCTTATTGATGACATAGAGGTCATTTCCAATTTTTTATTATTAGGAACAACGTTGAAATTCACAGTTTTGTCATCTCTCCTCATACACACGAGAAAACTTCTCTAGGGCACATGCACGCACCCCGGGCCTGGGGGCGGTGCGCGGCTTTCCCTTTACTCGCCCTTTCAAACTGCCCCCTGTGCCTGGCTGTGCGCGGGAAGCCGTCTCGCATCTGCGCGTCCCGAGACGCCCGCACCCCACCAGTCTCTCAGGTGCTGGCTGGGCGCGCGTGACTGCGGGTATCAGCTCTTCTTCCTCCGCACCTCGCGGCTCCGACCACACTGCGCTCTGGCGTCCGCTGCCGCGCGAGAGCTGTCTCACTTCCTGGACGTTGTTTCTCTGGAGGCAATCTGGTGTCTTCTAACACTGGCCCGTGATCTTGTTCTCCGGTTCCCAGCGACGGATGTAGGAGTGGATTTATTTGTGTTTGTTCTGCAGGTCCCTGGGAGTGTTTTTACCCTGAGGACTCATGCCTTTAATTCAGGAGAACCCTCGACAAGTACTTCTTTGAATTATTGTTCCTCTGATACGTCTTCTATTCTTCTTCAAGAACATCTCTTGGTTGGATGTAATATCTTTAAAGGTTCTTAACTGCAGTTTGTAGATGTTACCTTTCGGTTTCGGGGCTGCCTTCCTGGGGCCTCCCCAGAACCGCCTGCTGTTCCCTAAGTCGCTCTTTGATCATCTCTAGTCTGTGCTTCATGTCTCTTTTATTTTTCCCCTATTTTATGTTAATAACTGTATTTTTAATTTCTAAGCTTTCTTTTTTATAATTTTTAAAATAACTATCTCCTCTTATTCTATTCTATTGCCCGTCTTTGTTTCAAAACTGTGTGCACCCCTACTGGAAAGTTATCCTTCCTTTGCTGTATGATATTCATTTCAACATTTTGGTCAGACTGTACTTAACACCAGACCTCCTCGCCTGTTTGGGACTCTGACGCTTAGACCCACGTCAAGCAGGGGCTCTGTCTCCGTCTCCGGCCCCCTCGCGGTCCGCACCGCCCCCGCAGCACTGCGGGTGCCTCTACCCCCAAACCTGGGACTCACGCCGCCCTAACGGTATGTAGCGGTGAGGCCCCCGGTGACACCGGCTCTTGGAGACCCAGCCACAGGGGCCACGGGCTTGCCGTTTTGTCTTGTGCGACTCCATCTCCTTTTGTGTCTGTCCCTCATTTTCCTCTCTGCTGCACGCCAGGCACACGGCTGTCGCCGGGCTTGACAGCCATCTTTGTTTCTGGCACTCGGGGGTTTTCTCATCCTCCTTGGAGCTTCGGCGCTGTTTCCGGGTGAGGTGCGGCGGCCAAGTCCGGAGCCGATGCCCTCCCGGTTCATTGAGACACAGCACAGGATACGGTTGATAGAACTGGTTCTTAGCTCAGGAGTAAAGTTTGAATTTCAGCTCTCTCCTTTTTAGCTGTGTGCCCTGGAACAAAAGTCACTTTGCCTCTTGGGGTTTTTTTGTTTGTTTGTTTGGTTGGTTGGTTTTTTCCTGCCATGGCAAAGTACCACAAACCTGGCGGTTTAACCAAAACATTATCTTATGTTTCTGCAGGTCAGAAGTCCAGAGGGGGTCTCGCGGGGCTCCCATCTGGCGCCTGCGGGCTGCGCTGCCTTCTGAAGGGTCCCGGGGAGGGTCTGCCCCGTCGCCCTCGGCAGTGGCCGGGGCCCCCACGTCCCTGGCCTGCAGCCCCCGCCGCCCTCAGCTGGCCGCGTGGGGCGCCCACGCCCTTCTCAGCTGCGCTCTCTCTGGTCTTCCTCTGGCCCCCGTCCCCCCATCTTCTGACCCCCTGGGCTCACAGGGGTAGTCCAGGGTAACCGATGAGCGACCTCAGTTCCACCGCATTCTGAAAGCCCCTTTCCCCGGAAACTAATGTAGCCACACGTCCCAGGGACCAGGATGTAGCCGTCTTGGGGGGCCATCGTTGTGCCTCCCACCTCCCAGAGCTCGGTTTCCTCCTTTGTAGAAGCGGGGGCCGAGGTAATAGGGTGCCCGGGGCCTAAGTGGTTGGCGCGTGTGGGCCAACAGTATTAGGGCTATTACCACGGTCATCCTTAAATATGTTCCCTGTCACGTCCACGGAGCAGGGGACAGTGTTCCCTGTCACATCCACGGAGCAGGGGGACAGTGTTCCCTGTCACATCCACGGAGCAGGGGACAACGTCCTCTGTCATGTCCACAGCGCTGGGGACAATGTTCTCCGTTGCGTCCACGGAGCAGGGGGACAATGTTCTCTGTCACGTTCACGGAGCAGGGGACAACGTCCTCTGTCATGTCCACAGCGCTGGGGACAATGTTCTCCGTTGGGTCCACGAAGCAGTGGACAATGTGCTTGCAGACTCTGTGAGGCTTTAGCCTGACATGTTGTCAGAAGCACAGTTGGGTCAAATTTCTCAGGACAAAAGTGATCGGCCTGGTTACAAGCGAGTACAGCCACAGCGTCACATTACTCAGGAGGGTGACAGGGCCATTCCCTCCATGTATCTGTGCAATAAACTTGCCACTAAACAAGTTCCCCAAGCACGCAGGTGGGACAGGCGCTGTGCCCAGCCCCGCAGCTACGAGCTGGCAGCAGAAATGGGCTGGCGGATGGGCCGCTGGTAAAACGACAGTCTCCGTCAGAAACGGCGTGATCCAGTATGCCGAGATTGAGTGTGGGAATCTGGGCGTTGTCACCCCGGGTCCTAAACGGTAGTGCCTCCTCCTTCTGAATCCTGAATTGTGTGATCAGTTAATGGACCTCAGGCTCCTAAAACACACTGAAGAACGTCTAGAGACCATTTTGTAAAGTGAAAGCGTGGCCAAGAGAAAGCGTAGCTTTTATCACTCCAAACGTAGCTCCTCAAAACAAGGAAGAAAATGATCATTTTAGAAAGAAGGAGAAGAAAAGTGGGAATTTGAGGAAAAAATAAGATGTATCACTTGAAGAGGATAAATATTTCCAATTAATACTACCAAGATGCGAACAGTGATAAGAATATTAACGCTACTGCTTGGCACAAAGCCGGAAATGGTCTCCCCGGCTTCGCCGGAGCACGAGCCAGCGAGCTGCGGGCCTGGGCCTTGGTGGGCTGGCTTCTGCCCGGGACGCTTGCCTGGACCTAGCCGCGCCTGTCATCCACGTGCTGGGTGCTTTCGCGCGGTGACAGAGTCGGGCGGTTGTAACAGGGAGTCTGCGCCAGGCCACCACGGCGGACATCAGAGTTCTGATTATTTTCCCCTGCAGTGCAGGCGGCAGAGCCGGAGGCAGACGCAGCCCTGGCGCAGGCGGGACAGGTGACGCTGGGGAGGCCGCCTCCCTCCCCTCGGGCGGCCTCCCGAGACCGAGGCGGGGGGAGGGTTCGGCTCCTCTTTCTGAGGACTGCACGGCCCGTACAGGGCTGGGCGCAACTGCGTGGCCGTAACTTTCCTCCCTCGCTTCCCCCGTCCAGCGAAAAAATTACGCAGGGCCAGAAAGCGAACACGCCGCATTCCCTCTGGTCGGGAAGATTCGGAGGGGTGCCCGCTGGCCTGGGCCTTGGGGTCAGGGCGCCAACGTGGTGCTTGGGTAAGGAGGGACGTGAGTTGCGGCAATTTCTTTTCCTCCTACGAAAGATGGATTTGGAAGGGTTGATTCTCAAAGTTTCCTCCATTTGGAGATAATTCTGTGACCATCTCAGGACGCATTCAAAAATTAGGAAACAAACCCTGGTGTGTTCTCCTCGCGGCGGGGCTGCCTGCGACAAGCACTGACAATGGAAGGGGCTTTGGCAACGAGGGGCCAAAACCAGCGCCGGCGCGGAGCGCGCCGCTCGGGGCGCGGCCTTCCCTGTGCAAGGCCGGCTCCAGCGCGCGGGCTACGAAGTGAGAACTAGCGAGACCCGAGTCAAGGGGGCTATGTGTGCATGCACACGTGTGTGCCTGTGTGTGAATCCAATGGTTTTGAAGCTGCTACTCAATTCTGTAACCTGGCTGTTAATTGGTAAGATCACAGGCCACGATTTTCTTAAATTTGGAAGGCGCGTTTTACGGCTAAGGCTGGAAAGATTTTGTAATCCGAAAATTTCGCGTTTCCACATTTCCTTGCGTGTGACAGAGTTCGCCTTCCTGGAACACGGGGGCCGGGGGAGCGGTGGCGGGCGTGCCGGCCACTGAGGCCTGCGGCCCCCTTACCTTGAAGCTGTCCTCCTCCTCCTGGTAGACGGGATTGAGGCTGCTCAGGGCCGCCACAAACTCCAGGGCGATGAGCGGCCTGCGTGCCTGCTGCCGGGTTCGCCGGTCTGTGAGCACGCCTCTCGCCGCCTGGATGATGTGCCCCTGCGTGAAGCCGTCGCTGACCTTGGCCAGGCAGCTTACGTTCAGGGTGTTCGTGATGACGCCTCCGCAGCACTGAATGATCTGTCTCCACAAAACTGTTGCGTCCGAGGTGGTGGGAAAGACAGAGAGGACAGGGTCACCTGGAGGCGGCAGCCTAACCCCGGTCCCGGCACCAGGGGCCTCTTGTCGAGGAAGGAGCCCCCGGGACGTCTGCTCTGTAACTGTGATGAGCAGGACGCCACGCATGGAAAGCCTTTCTTGGACTGATTTCAACCCTACGACACGCGTGTCAAGGTCTATGGATGCGTGAGTCCCTTGCGAATTAACAACAAAATGTTAAACCACGGTCCATGCGGTTTCAGTGTGGTGCCTGTACACATGTTCAGAAATCTTTCAGAACCGGACACCCACACAGGTGCACATGCATCTCTCTCATCAGGACAGCACGTGTGCCCGGGGGTGGGTCGGGGAGCGTGGGGAAACGCCCCGCCTCGTTTCAGGGACTGAGCCCCGCCGACAGGCGAGAGGGCCCCAAGGTGGGAGCTAGTCAAGGAGGCCTTGGGAAAACAGGCCACTGAGGAGACCAAACCTGTCCCCCTGGCAGGGGCACAGCCCCTGACCCCCTCGCATCCCTCTGCTTGGCCCTGTGATCGTCGCTTGTCGATGACGGGTAAGTTCCCTCACGAGGAGGGACGACCTAAGACAGACACGACTGGTATGGGCAGCAGACGAGGACTTGGGGGACACGGAGAAAAGGCAAAAAGGCCCCCACCCCTCGGCTGGGCGGGGACACGGCCGGAGTCCCCATTCCGTCTGAAAGAAGCCTCCTTCTCTCTTGCTGGCTCTGCCCTGCCCACCTGGCTCAGGCTTGAAACAATACTAAAGGCAGGTACAGCCCTAAACTGGATGGGGTGATTCCTGGGGACAATCAGGCCTAGAAGTAAGTTCCTCGAAGCCTGCTCAGTTCTCCCCTCAAAACCGATGATAACGGGCTCCTGCTGGGAAGGAGATGTCCCTTATTCACAGACCCTCGACTGAGGCAGATCGCAAGTGTTCCTTCCATTGTTCTCTATGATCTCTACCCGTTTTCTGTAAACTTAGCCTTTGACTGATGATCAATCAATCATCACTTTAGACATTGATTGATGAGTTTTGCATCCGTACATTTGGTTCTCAATAAAAGCCTTTGGACACGGGGGTTGGGGCCTTCTCTCCCCGAGAGGGAAGAGCCACGTCCCCTCCCCCGGCAAATGGAGAAGTGTTTGCGATGACTCGTGTTTACTCCCCCACCTGTGACAACCCTGGGACGGGCTCTACGGGATCCAGAGCCCCGCTCCCTCCTCAGCCGGCTCCGGACAGTGACCCTCAGATCCAGGAGCCCCATGCGACGCTCCCTGCGACAGAGGAGCATGACTTTTTAAAAAGTTCATTTCTTACTTATTTTTATATGCAGATTCTAACCTCCGTCAGCCACTCCTGGGCTCGGTTCCCTTTGGGTGTTGAGACACTGGACGGCGCCTCGTTTTAAATAAAGCGGCCTGACCCTTCTTCTCCCCCCAACAACCGCGGAGCCCACCGCTTGACTGATCTGCCGGCTGGGTGCCCGGTTGCTCTCTGGGCGAGTGGGACGCGGGGAGACCGCGAGATCTCAGGACACGGGGGCGGGGTGAACATGAATGATGAAACGATCCTGGAGCTTTCCTGAACGGTAGAGACAGAACGGGCCCCCACACAGCACCCGAGACAGCTCCCCACTTGGGGAGCCGCGCCCGCGCCGCAGAGAGAGGGAGGTAGCTGTGCCCAGACGGCGAGGGCATCGGCGAGGCCGCCGGTCTCCGAGCCGGGCAGGGCCTGGTCGAACGTCTCTAAAGCCTTCTGTCCTGCGAGGAACACTTAAAACACTTCCTTAAACCGTGCCCATTACTACCCGAACTGAGCACTGTTGGGTTTGTGGAGTGACTACATCATCCAAATACATAGATTCAAAATTGCTCCATGAAATGCAAAGGCCTAATTACTGTCAAGGAGTAAAATGGCTTGCAAGTAGCTATGACCACGTCGGAGCCCGGCTTTCGGGCCATGAGCTATGCTAACAGTTTACCTCCGCGGGCCTCTTTGGGGGAGGGTCCGGGCCCTGTGGTGAGCTGAGGCGCTGGGAAAGGGGACAGCTACCGTGGGGCCCGTGGGGTCTCCACCCGTGGAAGGCAGGGGCGGGGGCCGAGAGTTAGAGGGCGCAGGCCAGCCAGGGCTCCGAGGGCCTCACCTGGACCCCCGAAGCCACTCCGCAGCCCCTGGATCTACTTCCCGGTGGGTTTAGCGGAGCTCGAGTGCCGCTGAGGCTGCCTGTGGCCGCGGGAGGAGGGCTGAGCTTGCAGGCCGCGGCGGGCGCCGCTCCGGCACACCGCGCGCTTCATTCCTGCCGCCGCGGGCCTGCTGTTTCAGTAATAGTCACCATTGTCAGTCCTTCCGTTTTGTGCCAAAGTTCCCTCCTGCTCATTAACGCATCCGCTACAGAGGGTCACGCAGAATCCACTACAGAGCACGTTAAAGCCGTTCATGTGAAGACAGGCTGCCGCAGGGGAGAGGTGTGCCCTGCAGCCTGCACGGCGCCGGTAGGGTCAGAGGTCAGAAGCTACGGCCCCTGGTAAGAATAAGCCGCCACCACTACCCCCGGGTGACACTGTCCCCCGGGAAGGAGTGTGTCCCCTGCCCGCACCTGTGACACCCAAAAAAGCACAACAGGCCAGAGTGGTGCCTCTGGACGCCGAGACGGGGACACGTCCTACGGGGGCGTCTCAGGGGACAGTCCCTAAAGCTGAGGACCCGGCAGACACCCCAGGCTGGGAACCCGGAACAACTTTAGCTGTGGGCCCCCATGGGCGAAATTCCCCGCCCAGCACAGAGCAGACCAATCAGCGGGCAGCCTGAGGGCCAGGACGCCCAGCCGCGAGCACCCGGCTCTCCCCCGGCCTCCCCGCTAAGCTCCGGCGGTCCCTGCCGTCCCACCTTCCCCCACGAGGAATCCCCACAAGACTCCTGAACGGCGGAGTCAAAAACTACAGCCTGGCCTGTGCACACAGGTAAACACACCACTGGCACCTAAGCGCAGGATTTCTGGAATTCACGTGGCGCGTTGGTCACGCCTCCTGAAGACACCGAAGCCAGTGGCTGGTTACTTCCAAGGCTCACCAGGGCTTAATGGGGCTGAGCACGGGGCTCTGCAGACGCACCGCGGTCCCCGCGGGACCTGCCCGCCTGCCCAGAGCCGCCTCCAGCTCTGGCAGCGGGAAAGGCGACAGGCGTGACGTCCACTTTCTGTCGGGGCCCCGCCCACATTAGCCTTCACAGAACAGCCTCGGATGCCTCGGCTAAGCCACCGCTCCCTCCTGACCTTCAGCAGCCTCCGCGGGGCCAAGCAGGCGGCGGGGGCAGAGGGGGCCGTAGCCTGGCGGGCTCCTGGGGGTGCTGGACCCTCCGCAGGCTGCCGGCCCCTTGGCACGGCCCTGCGCACGGAGAGCCCAGGAGCAGGGCAGGCGCGAGCCGGCAGATGGCGGCCTGAGGCCTGGGACCGGGGAAGCGAGGGCTGCAGCCAGCGGGGGGCGGGGGGGGGGCGCGGGGGGGGGGGGCCCTCTCGGCCAAGTGACGTATTTGACCTTCCCCCCGTGGAGTCAGAAGGCGCCGCGGTTCTCTCCCTCCTGAGACCGGAGGGGTCCGCACTCGGGTCTCCTTCTCTGCTTGGGTGCCCCGGTGCGTTCTATCCAGGCGCGTGCTCGCGATGACGTGGTATCTTGTGGTTCATTTCTATTTGGGATTTTGCAGAAGCACAAGAAGTGAATGTGATATGGATGAGCCTGGCCTCTGAAGCCTAGAATTCCAGAAAAATCAGAAGACATGGGCCTGTCTCTTCTGAGTAGACTCTGGGTCCTGGGTGGGGGCTGGTGATGAATTGGGTTCCAGCGAAACAGACCCCAGGGCAGAGAGGCAAGGGGAGGAAGCAACGGGGACGTGGAGAGAAGGAAGCGCGAAGGGGTTTCTGGGGACTAGACAGGCATCAATCACCCCCCGGGGTGGATTTTCTTTGCAGAGACATTTTGAAGGCAATTGCTGGATTTGGGGAAAAGAGGCAAGACAGCTGTTGAATTATAGCTGGCAAACCTCAAGGGCTGCGCTTCCTCAGGCGGATCCACCCTTCTCCCCTCAGCCCGGCTCCCGCCCGAGGCCCCTCCCCGGGGACCCTGGTGAGCGGGGCCGCGGCCGCTCCCTGCCCCTGCAGCTGGGCTGCCCGTGGGTGGGTGGCCAGGCAAAGGCCCATACCGTGCCTTGCAGCCCATGCTTCACCAGCTGGAAGAGACCGCCTCTGGTCACCGCAAAGACAGGGACAGGCTTGCTTTAGGACAGCTGCCCCAGCCGCCGGGGCCACGAGAGCTTCAGGGTCACTGGACGAAATGCCAGACAACATTTACTTTGGCAGCAAACATGGCGGCCTGAACAGATCACCCGCCAAGAGAGGAATGTGTGAGGAGCCTGTGCTTCAGTGGCCAGAGACCTGGGCCCAAGACAACTGCTGCGTCCAGGTTTGTCATCTGCCCGCAGGTGCGGAACACTCCCTCCTTCCTCTCCCACGAGGCCAGCCAAGGGGATGCAGGTTGGAAGTTGTAATGTGATCTGGTCCTTAGAGGTGACTGGCAAGTTACCAAAAAACACAATTGCCTTCGCTATGCATCAGTAGCCATGGTTTTGTCAAACAACAGCAACGGTTTAATGTGAAGTCAAGAACAATGCTCCAGCCCCTTAAAATTACTAATACCCTACCTTCTTCCAGTAAGATAACAGTATGTACGGAGGAGGAGATGGGAAAGGGGGGAGGGGCGGGGGAGGGGGAGAGAAGGCCCCTTCTCACCGACTCAGCGCCAGGACCCCTGCGCTTCCCCGTTCCTGTGCCGACTCCTCTCTTGGCTGGACTACGCATCCCCACCCCCCGAACCTTGGCGGCGCCCTGTGAGTCACTCTGGCCAATGTAATGGGGATGGAGACCCGCTGGCCCCTCTGGGTCTGGTCCCTAAAGTCTCCTGGCAGGCCCTCCCCACCACTTTTCCCACCCTCCCTTGGATGCTGGCTGGGTGCAGGGTCCCATAGAAGCTCAGAGGCCTTAGAAGATGGGGAAGCCGCTAGGTGGATGGAGAAAGAACTGGGACCAAAACCATCGGAGCTCTTGGTGCAACAAGGATTTATGAAGCTGGGACCATTAAATATCAAGACAGAAATGAGCGCACATGGCAGATGGGGTGGCTAAGCTGGGAGCGCACAGGATGTGGCAGGGCGGGGGGTGGGGGCGTTGCTCTCAGCTGACCAGGAGTCCAAGGCCACCAGAAAGGCCCGGCGGCCCCTCTCCCCGGTGTGGCTGTTGTGGCCGGCTACGGGTGGGCAGAAGCTGCGTCACTTTCCTAATTGTCATTCAGGCTAAACCCTGCTACCGCGTCACCGCTGCGGCCGCCTCCTCTGCCTCTCCCGCCCCCATGACGCCCTCACCTCCGCTAGAGCCGTGCTGCCACCCCGACCACCTTGGGGGGCAAAGACGGCGCCGCCACGAGCCCCGCTCATGGTGTTCACGCCCTCGTCGGGCCCACCCCCCGTGAACCGGGGCTGGCCCCGGGGCGGGCCACGCGCGCTGACAGGGAGCCTGCGTGACTCTGGTGCTGGGCCACAGGACTGCTTCCGGCCTCTGCCTGAGCCTCTGGGGGAGGCTGCTCTGACGACGCTCCCTTGGGGACCAGGGGCGGGCAGAGCCGTGTGCAGACGGCGCTGCCTGTCACGGGAGCACGCCGCCCTGGGCGCCTGGCCCTGTCCAGTCTCCCGGTGACGAGAGCCTCCCTGACATCTGACCACAGCATCCTGCCAGAGTGCGGGGAGGACCCCCCAGCTGCACCCCAGAGCCCTCAGAACCACAAGAGGGGCGACGTGTTGTTCCAACCAGTGGGGGCTTGGCTGCAGCGGCGGGAGCCCGCCTCCTGGACCCCACCGTTCTGCCTGCCGGCCGGCCTCCCTCCACACCCCGTGCACTGCAGGGCAAGCGGCGTGGGCGCCTGCCTACCGCCTCCGGTGGGCTCCCGGCAGCCCGCGGCGAAGGCTTCTCCCGCTCCGCGGAGGAGAGAAGGCCGTCTCGGGGGCATCCGAGCGGTCAAGCCACCCGGCGGCTCCCTGGCCGGGTCTGCCAGGGCCTGGGTCTCCTGGCTCGTCCCGTCCAAAAGTGTTTCAGAGGAACTGCTGTTTGAATCTGTCTATTCAGGAATAAAAAAGTGGAAAAAAGTAAGCTTCCGTTGTGTTTCATGTTTAGGTTAAGTCAACATGTTCCTGGGCTCATACGCGGAGACTGAAAAAGTGAAAACACCAACGTGGTGAAAGGAAGTGGTTTTGTGCGAGGAAGACCCTGCCACGCGGGTCGAGGCGGGCGGCCCCAGTCTGCCCGTCAGAAGGCAAAGGCGCACCCATGAGGGCTTTTGTCACCCCCAGGGCCCGGAGTAATTGTCCCTGTCCAGTGTCCTCTGGGCTTGGGTGAGGGAAGCACGTTAACCACGGAGCAGCAATGCATGCGCTGCCCTGTGGCCCACGGCTTTGCGTTCGTGGCGCCGGGCTCAGCGGACGCCCAGGTGCGCACGCCGTCGCGGTGACATCATCTGGTGCCGAGTGGGTGACGAGGGCCGCCCTCCCCAACGCCCGACGGCCCAGCTTCAGGGCCTGGCGGTACTTGCCGTATCTGGACGCGTAGTCTGGTCTGGGAACCAAGATGATTTTTTGGTAAACTCTGCAGAACGACTGAAGTTCGGCATCAAAAGGGCGGCGGGTGGTCCCCACGATCAGAACCCTGTCGTTCGGTTTCAGGAGTTTCAGGATTTTGGGAAGCTGGTTTTTCAGGCGTTTTGGTTCCATCTGTGGGAAGGGGTGAGGGGGAAAAAATGAGCCCCAAGGAGAGAAAAAGAGTTACGAGTCGGAGGCCCCACGGCATTGTGGGAGGGGTCGCCGGCTCTACAAGCAGCAGCTCTTCAGGGCCCGCGGGCGCGAGCCCCGCTCCCGGTTTGGGTGATGGCGGCGGCAGGCGTTTCCTGTCCTCGGTCTCTGGAATTCAGATTTGGAAGGGGAAGGAAGGAAGCACCTGCAGAACATTCTAGCACCTCGACCCTGAGAACAGGAAGGGTGGCAGGTGTCCAAGCGCAGGGGAGCTGGCTGGGCCGGAGCCAGCACGTGGGGCTATGCGTCCCTCTGAGCTGTTCTGGGGTGAGCCCGGGATTGCCTTGCTAACCGCGGTGGCCAGCAGGGGCCGCGGCCCTGGGTCCCAAGCCTGGAAAACGCCCGGTTACCTGAGGGCGAAGCTGCTTTCTCTGAGCCGGTGTGGAGACCGCGTGAAACTGTTATAATCTGAGCAGTAAGGACAGGCAGAAGCACAAGACAGGGGCCCGGGGAGTAGGACCTCACGCCGCGGGGTCAGGTGTGGCCACATTGCCATGGAAACACTGACTTTAAATGAACCTGGGGGCGGGGGGCGCAGCGCCCTGAAGAGCCACCACGGGCACTCCAGGCACAGCCTCGGCCGTTTTTGCTCTCGGCCGGTTCACGGCAGGTACATGAATTGTTCTTTTTGTATATTCATCTTCTATCCTGTAGTTGCTGAACTTCATTATTAATTCTTGTATCTTCTGATGGGTTCCTTAAGATTTTTGATATACAAGCTCATGTCTTCTGCAGCAGAGAGAGTTTCACTTCTTCCTCTCCAAGGCGGGTGACGTTTACTTCGCGTCCTGCGGAGAAACTCCCACGCAGCGTTGGTGGAAGGGGCGGTCGTTAGGGAAGAGCTCCCAGCCCTGTAGGCTGGTAGACGTGGCCGCGGGCTTTCTGTGGTTCCTCCTCATCCGGCTGAAGCTCCCTTCTCTTCCTGCTTCGTCGAGTTTTGCGGTTTATAAATCAGAGACGGGCGTTAGGTTTCGTCGAACGGCTCTTCACCTCTGCAGGGGTGGTGATGCGGCTTCCGTCCTTTACGCCGCTGACACGGCACGATGCCTTAGCCGAGTTTCGGACGTGACACCTGGGAGCACCTGCACTCGGTCCTGGTGTCCAATCCTCTTCCTCTGTTGTCGCGCTCATCTTGGGGGACGCTTTTGTCACATCAGGCACAGCAGAGAAAGAGATGGGATTTTCACAACAAAGCCAACCCCAGGAGCCGGGCCCGAGGGCAGGGCCCGAGGCATCTTCCTGCTCTGTCCTCTCCTGCACCACAGGGACCCATCCGGCTGCGGCTCCTCATTGGGAGGAGACAACGGCCCCCCGCCCTCCACCCCGGCAGCGCCAGGTCCTGGCTGAGGGGAACAGAGGGGCCTGAAAGGGGGCTGAGTGCGGGAGAGGGACCACCCAGCAGGAGACCTCCTGAAATCCTGGGAGCAGGCGGCCCGCTCACAGCCGGAGGCGCCCCCCGCCCCGGCCCCTCAGTCTGCAGAGCCCTGTGCTGCCCCAGGCCCACGCCGCGCCTCGGGCTGGCCTGGGACAGGGAGGAGCGTGTGCTGGGCCATCCCTCTGATTCCGCACTTCCCCCGGGGCGGGCCGTGGGTGAAAGGGGAAACGCCCAAGGGAGAAACTCGGGGACAGGCCGAGGGCCGAGCGAACAGGGAGGCCCAGGCTTCGTTTCGGCCCATCTGCTCCAGGCTTGACCCTGCTCTCAGCAGCGGCGTGACTCTGGGCAGGTTACTCGACGACGTCCCTCACCTTCAGTCCCGCCCCTGAGAAACGGGACAGTCACAGCGCCTAAGGCAGAGGGACGCGGTGAGGACCGCACGGCGCAGTGCGTGTGACAGACTCTCGATGAGGAGCCTCATTCCGGGACGCGGGTGCCAGTGGGAAGTCAGTGCCAGGCCTGCTCCGCGGAGGAGGGGCGTTTGTGCAGGGGAGAGGCAGACGTGGGGGCTTTGGGATCCGGAGGAGACCGGCACCGGTGCCGACAGAGCCCAGAATGACTGTGAAAAAGCTCCCGCCAGTTTCCCCAGCACTAGATAAGCCTTCGACCGCTGGGACCCGAGGAGCCGGGACCCGAGGAGCCGCCTCCTGCCGAGGTGCTAAAGGCGGCCCCTCCCAGGAGCCTGCGCCTGCGCCCGACCCAGCGCCACACCCGGTCGGGCCTTGGAGGGCTTGGCCGCCCTCGGAGCCTGCCTCCCCCTTACGGAAGGCGGCCATGTTAAAAAGCAAAATAGCCCTTTGAAAAGGCAGAAGGAGCAGCAGCTTGGGGTGGCGGGTGGTGGTGGTGGAGGACACCCCGGGCGGGCCCCGCTGGTTTGCGGCGCGGCGGGGGAGGCGGCCTGGGCGAGCTGGGCGATTCCGGGAGGCTGCTCAGGGCACAGCTCCGGGCTGGGGACCGACGAGGGCAGGCACAGGTTCGGGGGTGACTCTGAAGCCACGAGAGGGCGAAGGCAAGGAGAGAGGACAGGGATCCCCGACATCCTCCAGGGTGGGAGGAGGTGGGTGCAGGAGACGCAGCGGGAAGGGCAGGGGTCAGCAGGAGGCCAGGAGACGGCAGTGCCGGAGGGCCTGGGGCGCAGCAGAGAGGGCGGGCGAGGGGACCGAAGGCCTTTGTGGGGCTAGGGGGCGGCCAGGGGTCGTAGGCTGAGCAGGGAGGGATGGTGAGAGCAGACTGTCTCGTGAAGAATCCGACGGAGAGCAAAGCAGGTGGAGGGGGCAGGGACACAGGGGTGTCTGTGGGAGCTGCCAGAGGCTGGTGGGAGAGCTGACCGCAGGGTCCTGAGGGGAAGACTGCACGGTCCCAGTCCCCTCCTGGCAGCCTCGTCACCATGGCGACGCCCCTGCCGTCCTGCCCGTCCTGCCCTGACAGACACACCTGAACTTAATTACCCTGGTGCCAACGGATGTGGACCCCGAGGCGCCGTGTCCCAGTGACACTCGCGGACGCGAGGCGGCGTGGCCCGCTGGGAGGGGCGGCAGGGAAAGGTGGTCCACCCAGCCTGCGCCCCGCACTCAGGCCGCCTCATTCGGGTGCAGAGCCGCACCCGTCGCACGCCAGGCCCAGGTGCTGGTCTGGGACGCTGCCGGCTGGTGTCCCGACCCGCACCTGGCGGCCTCCGCGGCCCCGCCCCGCCGCCGGGCCTGTGGCCCGCACGGCGGAGTATTGCAGCCGTGTCAAACGAGCGCCCCGCGCCCACGCGGCACCGCTGCTTGGCTCTCCTGCCGCCGGCTCCACACAGCTGCGCGCAGCCGCCCCACCCAGGCCAGCGGGCCCCCCGCGGCGGCCCCACTGCGACGCAGGGAAGGCTCGGCGCGGTGAGAGGAGGGGGCGACGGCGCAGAAGCGGCAGCCCGGGCAGCTGTGCCCCATTCCTCTCTGGCACGCACGCGCACACACGCCCCTGACCACAGCAGCGCTGGAGGGAGAGGGTGGGAGGGTGCTCGGCGGGGGGCGGGGTCAGGGGTGGGGCACGGGGAGCGTGGGCTTTCCCCGGGTGTGGCGGACAGAGGGCGGGGGACAGCGGCACAGGCGGGAGTGCAGGGGTCTGCAGCCGGCACCTTCGGCTGCAAGACGAGAGGGCCCATGGGCGGTTTGCAGGATGCGGCCTACAGTGGCCCGGGCTGAGGAGGGGCGGCTGGTGGACAGAGGGACAGACAGAAAGCCAGGTGCTGGGGCTCGGGGGTTGCCCCAGGCGGGGAGGGAGCTGGGGCCTCTGCCTCCAGACAGACCTGTGCCGGTCCCGGGCTGCGCTGGCAGCGGTGCGCCCTCCCGAGGCTTTGTCCTTCTCTGCCCCTGGGGAGGCCGCCTCCCCAACATGTGCCTGGGCTCCGGGCCCTCGGCCTCGCCAGCAGCCCCGATGTCCCGGTGGGTCCCCGCCCAGGCTCAGCGCCAGTGCACTGCCTGCTCTCTTCCCCGCCCCCTGCTTGGGTCTGGGCGAGCCCCACGCCCACTTAACCACTCGCCGAGGCCGGGGCTTCCGGGCCGGAGCCGGTCCCCGCGGCGAGAATTTTTCCAAGTGTGGTCCTGGAATCCCTCCAACGCAGCGGGCAGCCGCCCGGGTGCTGCTTGTGCTCTGGCCAGCGGGGCACGGCTGCCTCCTGGTTCCTTGCCGGTGGGGTTCTTCTCTGTGGCTCAGTGCTTTTGGGGTCAGGGGACCTTCGGGACAGAGGCTGGGACGGTGGGCCCCCAGGGTGGCCGAGCGATGCAGCGCGGACCCCTTGTGACGCCTCCTGGCTCCTCCTGTCCGTGGGTGCAGCCTGGCGCTGGGTGTCACCTTCAGGGCGTGTGTGGACGGTCAATGCTCATCGTCACGGCTGCCCGGCCCCGCGGGCCCGGCCGAGGGCCGAAGTCCAGGCGGGGGCGCGTCCCGAGGGGCGGGCCCAGGACCTGGGCGGAGGGGGGCCGTGTTCCCGTGTGTCGCTGGAGGACCCGCGCGCAGGGGTTCCCGCCCCACGGAGCTCGCCTGTGGGGGTGTGGGGCTGGGCCCGCCCTGCAGGGAGGTGCGTGCACGCATCCTGCAGCCCTGGCTGTGCTGGGGTCACGCAGGTCCCCGGCCGGCCTCGTGGACGACGGGGACCCTGTGCTCATCGGGCGCCTGGGGTTTACCCAGGGCACGGTCCGCGGTCTTCAGTGCCAGGAGTCCCCCCGCCGGACAACAGGCCCCTCTAACGCGGAGGCGGAAAGAAGGGACGTCTGCTAGGGCTGTTACCGCCGACAGCACGCGGGGGCTGCGCTCTCTGGAACGCTTTAGGCTCAGGGAGGTTACGTTTCTTGCTCGGGGACACATAGCCAGCGGTGCTGAATGGCAGAGCAGGCCAGGGACCCCGGCGTCCCACGTCCCCACGGCCTTCCTACTGCCCAGCTGCCGTCCTGGGGCCGCCGAGGAGCCCTTGCCCAGAAAGGGGACGAAGCTCGTGTGGCGTCAGGTGTGGATGAGACTGGCTCTGCGTTCCTCAGCCCGCAGGTCTGCACCTTCGCCAGCAGAGGGAGCCAGCCGCTCGGGCCGCAGGGTGAATAATGAACGAGTCCAGGCTCGGAAGTTTCCGGAGTGGCAGGCCCATCAAGGCCCGCGGGGGAAGAACAGATGGCGCTTTCATTCCTTATCCAGGTCATCTCTGCCTGCTAACAGGGGTGTGTAATGCATAAGGGCCCAAAGTGACTAAAATCCTTATGGATTTAATCAGAAATTCACCGTTGACCACTACTTGCTTTGGTGCAAATTGATGTGGAACAATGTCAAAAATTGATTATGTCTGCAATTTTTTTTTTAACTTGTGGGAAATTTGCTGGTGATCTGCTGGGGGCAGTGCGGGGGAGGGGCTGCTGAGAGGAGAGAAAAGGAGGAAGCAAGCAATTGCAGGGGGTTCCCCAAGGCCCTGGCGCAGGCTCCTGGCTCGGCGGATGGCCTTTGTGCGTGAACTTTGGGCCTTCTGCTATTTATTATTATGAACAATAGGAAGTCCTAATAATAACTCCTGTGTGTGTCTTTAAAAAAAAAGAGCAGAGTTCTCTAAATGCTTCTGGCCTCCGAATCGGGTGTCTGGGCGTCAAGCTCCCCTCCCCCACTCCCATAGAGTCCTCAGTTTCTTCTAAATGATGCCCATAAAAGCAGCCCCACCCCGGTCCTTTCGCACACAGACAAGGACTGAGGACAGAAGGAGAGGCTGCCCCTCGGTCCCTCCCTCCCCTAAAGACGCCAAGCCTGACCTTCTCGGGTAGTAGAGGCAGCCTGGCAAGGGGCCCCCTTGGAGGAAAGAAAACCCCGGGCCGAGACACGGCGGAGGGGCCCTCACCATCCTCTCGGCGTTGGGGACTTTTCTGTAGAAGGTTTTCTCCGTGTCTCCGATCCACACCACGGACGGCTGGAGCTGTCGGGCCACCTGCGCGGGGAAGGAAGAGCCTCGGTTGGTGACGCGTCTCCGTCCTGGGTGCGCGGTGGGTCCCCGAGGGGCAGCAGGACCCGAGGGTGCCCTGCGTGTGCTCTCGGCGCGGCAGGGCCCAGCGGGCCCCGCTGTGCGCCCGGGCACGGCCGCCCACCACTCCCACCGCACGGGCAGGGCGCCCAGGACGCCTGCACGGTCAGCTCTGGGCCCCCAGGCCTGGGCTCCGTTTGGCCCGAAGTAAAGCCAATAAGTAATTTCCTGCTGCCGATGAACGGGGCCTGGGCCTCGAGCCTGAAAGGCAGCCAGCCCGGCGCGCCCAGGCCTGCTCGCTGCGAGGAAAGCGGTTTTAGCACAAGGCGCCCGCGATGCCACTTGCTCGGCTCACTTGGCTGGGCCTTCGGGCTGTGGCTGTGCCTGGGAGGTGGCTCTGAGCCCTTCCAGGGCGGGCAGGGCTCTGCCACCGCGACGCTAGGCCATACCGTGGGCCGCGAGGAACTGCCCCCACCTAACAGTCTCTCCAAAGCACCCCTACGACGGTGTGGTTCGAGCATTCCTGCAACGATTTGTGCTTTGTGCGGGACGGTGACAGACAAAGGCCGTCCCCAGCCACAGTGAATGGCGTTCTGCGCTCCTATTTCCGTATTTCTTAACAGCAGGTGTGAAGTTAAACCGGGAGAGACGTCCACTCCCGGGTGGAAAACGCAGCCGGCGCCCTGCGGACGTGCTTCCCCGGTGCTGCGGCCCAGGGAAGGGCATCCCGCGCGTCCAAAGGTGGCGTGGGTTTCACCGATGCGGCACGGGCTGGCCGCGCTCGCAGCCCCACGCACAGGACGTCCGGGGAGGGAACGGTGCCGCCAGCCACTGCTGGCTGGGTGTTGTTTTCTAGAACCAGAGCCAGAGAGTTGAAGAACTCAGAGTTGCACGTTTGCACCCCAGGACAGAGGCGGTGGCACGCTGCGTTCACACCAGGCCCGGCCACGTGCGTCACACATGGTGTCACGCATGGTGTCACATGCATGGCTGGGGCCCGCGTGGACCCAGCACGTCCTCCTGCTGTGGCCCCGCGGCCTCTCTGCCACCTGATGAAACAAGTGCCACAGTTACCAGCCCTGTTCTCAGACAGGGAAACTGAGGCTCAGATGTTAGCGACCTGTCCAAGGTCTCACAGCTGGAAGGTGACGGAGGCCAGCGGCAAGGCCCGGCTGGGGGCTGCGGGGTCCGTGCGGGTCACGGCCACACCCGCGGGGCCCCTCACTGACGCGGGCCACAGGCCCGGGCGTCTGCCCCGCCTCGCCTCCCCACAGCCGAGGGGCCGCAGTCCGCCCGGTCCGCCTCCATCCGTCCGTCCTTCCTCTCCGCGCCCTCCGCGAAGCCGTGGCCTCTTCCCAGCGTGGCCTGTCCCCTGCCAGCGGAGGGACCTGCTCGGTGCCCGAGGGCACATCTTCAAGAAGCCATTGTTCCCGAAAAGCTACTTTGAGTTTAAATCAAAAGCTTCCCCCTACTTTGTGCCCCAAAAGAAAATAAGAGAATGAGTTTCTGTGGGGGAAAGTTCTTAAGCAGAAAGAGGCAAAATGTTGGTCTTCTCAGTCCCTCTTAAAACTCTTGGTTTCAGCACCGAAACCCATGGACAAACAATGTCCCCGTGACCAGCGCCCCCAGTTGTGCAAGCCATGCGGCTGGCGGCCGGCCCCTCCTCTCCCACGCGCATTTGCCAGCGATGGGCCCCCCGCCCTCTTGCCTGTGGGCTTCTGTCCGCTTGGCCCGGCCCCTCCTGCGGGGGACGGCGGGAGGGCGGGCGCTCTGACTGTCGTGGGGCTCCTCTTCCTGCTTCTCACAGAGCGAGCTACACAGCCCAGCTGGGCGCACGGGCACCTCGCCGGCTTGGGGCGACCTTGAAACCCCCGGTCACATTTCTTGCCCCTGAGCCGCAGTCGTGAAATCCCAGCCCCGCCGCGCCGTGGGACCCGAGGTGACTGACTGCTCCCTGAACGGCCTGCTCTTCCCGAGCGGGTGGGCAAATTCCACCAGTGATGGGCGTCCTTTCCCAGGACGGGCGTCACCTGCGCCGTGCACCCAGTGCCGTGCGAGGACTGCGGTTTGGGAAGGCGCACTTATTGCCAAATGAAACAGGGGAGTTCTTTGGCGTTAACAGCACATAACAATACAGGGGACATCCTTTGCCAAGTGCCTCGAGGTTCAGGACGCCCCTCACTCACCACGTGCCACATGCTGTGCCAAGTGCGCCCATACTTTGTCCCCTTTTACAGAGGAGGTTGCCGAGGCACAGAGAGGGGTCAGCAATGTGCCCGCCAGCACTGCCGCCGGAGTCGGACCTGTATCTGCCTGGCACCCCCGGCCGGCGCCCCGAAGAGCCAGGCCGCAGCCTGCGCGTCACCGTGGCAGACGGGGCCGGGTCCACACCCCTCGTCACCCCGGAGCCGAGTCCTCCTCGGTCACCTTCCACTCCAGGGAGAGCCGTAAAACCACCGCTGTCCGGTCCTCCCGAGCGTGGGTCTGGGACCCTCCTGGCCGGCAAAGGTCGCAGAGCGTGAGAGGGCCAGGCCTATTCTTGGGGGCGGCTTGGGTCACTCTGGAAGGTCACAGAGGCCCTGGCCATGACACCAAGTTTGCTCTTGTCCGGGAAGCGGCGCGGAGTCTGCCAGGGACTTTAATAATCCTGCACTTTGACGCCACTATGCATGAAGCATGAGGTCACGGGCCGCTGCCCCGCAGGCGCCAGGAAACTCTCGGTGAACGTGCGCAGGGGGCGTGGGGGAAGGCTGGAGGCCGAGGGGGGGAAGGATGAGGTCGGTTTGGGCCAAGGGAGCCCCAGGGCAGCTGGACTTTCACACAGTGGCCTGATGGGTCTGGGAGCAGGAGCCAGGTGGGGGCTGGGAGGGGCTGAGAGAACGACGAAGGCCAAGCCTTGGGAACGAATGGGGGGGTCCCCCCAGGTAAAGGGGAGAGTGGGTGAGGGCGCACGGGGCCCCGGAGCGGGACCCCGCGGGGAAGACCTCGACGGAGGAGGGGGTCCAGGCCGAGATGGAGGAGCAGCCCAGAGAGAGCGGAGGGGCGCAGGCGAGAGCCCCCCCGACCCCGAGCCCCAGGGAGGCGGAGGTGCAGGAGGGGAGCAGCGGCCGTGGCCAGGGTGGCCCAAGGGCCTGGCAGCCAGGAGGTCCCCGGGGGCCCCGGCAGGGCGTGGAGAGGACAGAGCCAGGTGACAGGGAGCGGAGGGGTGAACGGGACGGAGAAGAGTCAGGGAGAGGTCTTCCAGCGAGATACGCAGCGCGGAGTCCGGGGAGGGGCGGGATGAGCGGGGAAGCAGGACAGGGTGGCTGCGGAGGGGTCCGGGCTCGGCCTCTGGCCCCAGGGACGGCGCGGGTGGGGGGGGCCGAGGGCTGCTGGCTCCGGCGAGCGACGGGGGACGCCTGCAGGTGCACCGGCTGACCGGCTGAGCTCTGGACCGCGTCTGCCGGGAGTCCGGTCCGTTCTTCCCGTGATCGCAAGGCAGCATCCGCTGGTAACGTGTGCAGACCGCACGTTCAGACAGCCCTGAGCCACCGGCTCCATGGAGACCGGGCCGCCCCACGTCGCCGGCCTTCAGACCCTCTCTGACGCCCGGATTTGCAGAAATGAGATGGTCCCTCCCACACTGAGTATGAAATGCATTCATCCAGCATCACTTTAACGGGACACCCGGTACTTAGCGACCTCGCCCTGTGTCTGTGAACACCCGGATGGTTTCCGCCTTCTGGTTAAACCAAACAGTGCGAGGGCAAGGGCCCCCAGGCACGAGTGGCCCTTTCCCCGGAATGTGGCGGACATGTTGCCGCGGGGACACAGGGCCTGGGGCTCCTCGCGTCTGGACGCGTGCCGCCGACCCGCCGGCCGGCCCGCGGGCTCTGTGTGCGTCCCCAGCCCTCAGGAAGAGGGCCTGTTGCTCCACACTCCTCCGGGAGTGTTCCCGATAAAAAACTCTTTGCCAGTTTGTTAATGAGAAGTGGCATCCTTTGCTCTTTTAATTTTCACGTGGCAGCAACAAGGCTTCGTTGAAATCACCCACAGATAGTTTGAGGTCATGGGCAATTAAATGTAATTAATGCCTAATTGGACTTCACTGGTTATGTGGGATCATTTACTCCAACAGCCACTAGAGGGCCCTTCAGCCCTATCAAATGTCGCTGCGGGTTTCCGTTTTGTGTCCGTTCTGGAATAAACGCTAATTTCCACCCACACGTGCCTTCTCAAATTCTGGGAAGTTCTGTCAAAGAATGAAAGACTTCTCCATCCACGTCAGTTTTACGGTTTGAGCTTTTGTATTGTCCGAAGACACAAATACTCGCCATCAGAATTAGATTCCCGGGGTTAGGGCGTAATGGCTCGACCGTGAAGACCTGCTTGTGAGGCCGACAAGCTCTGCCCAGATGACGCTTAGGAGCTTTGGAAGCCCTTCCTGAAAGGGCCCTATTGTGCTCGCCATAGAGAACCCAGGAGAAAACTGGCTACTTACTTCAGTGGTTGCGTATCAGTTCACCAAACTGAGAAGGATCATCCACCCACCCACCCATCCACCCCACACCCATCCGCTGAGCATCAGTGAGGGCCGGGCTCTGTGCCGGGAGGCAGGGGACGTCTGGGAACAGAGGGACGTGGTCGCTGCCTGCAGAGGGTAGAGCCTCCTGTCTGTGAACGGGGGTTGCTGGGCGCAGGACACCCCCAGGGAGGTGCTGGGGGGCTGGGGCCGAGCCAGAGGGGTATGCGGGATTGGAGGGCGGGGCCAACTTTCCTGAACTATAGTCACTGAGATTCTGTTTAAATCCTAACATGGGGGACGTTTTCTATTTCCACTGTTTTAAAGTATTTTATATTTCTCTTTCCTTGCATTCGCTTCTATGAGACTGGAAGTTGAGACCTCAAGTCCTGTCTGGGTGTCAGTTGGGATAACCTGCAAATGACGAAGGGTCAGACACTCAGCTGGGCTGACCCTGTATGGAAAGGAAGGTAAACTGAGGCAGAAGAGAGGAGAAGGCTGGGGATGCAGGTGCCACTGACAGTCTGTGACAGGTGACATGGTGTGTGTGGGGGGGGACCAGACTGGTGGTAACAGGGACACACCGGTGCTATTGCTGCGAACCAGGCTGTGTTCAAGGACCAGGGATGGCGGCGGCAGGCACCAGGCTCACGGAGCACCTGGGTTTTCCGCTGGAGCCCCCGCTCCTTCGTAGCCCACAGTCCTGCCCCTGGTGCCGACTGAGAGGCCACACTCACCTCCTCCCCGTCCCGGCGGCTTTCGACTCCCTGAAGGCGCCCCGCCCCCAACGGTCTCCAGCTGGATGCGAGGCTCTTCAGTGCCCGTGGCCTCGACTCCGGTCCCAGCCCCTCCCCGTGATGCCAGCCCGGAACAAGCTGGCGCACCCTGTACTGATGGCGGCCCCCAGCCTCCAGGGCACCCTCCTGGGCCCTCCCGGGCGATCACACCCCGGGCACTCCCCGCCTGGCACCCTGCTCCCCGGGGAGCCAGCCCTGCACGGCCGCTCAGCTTTCCTGTGAACCTAAAACCCCTCTAAAACACGACATCTGTGCTTAAAGAAAACAAGCCGAAGCCGGAACGCCGACGTGGGCTCCCGGCCGCATCCGAGGCCCGGCCGGCCCGGCACAGCGGCTCTCCTTTCTGACGCGGCCCTTGTGTTTTCGCACCTGAGGCTGCCCCCGCACTGCCCCCGCTCCCCCTCCTGCTCGCTCTCACTGGAGCGGCTCTGTTTTCAGGTCAGGTGGGGGTCCCCGCTCTATCCGTATTGAATTCCACCTTGTGAAGGTGGGGCTAACATATTTATTACATTTATTACACATCTGTGTGTGTTTTTTAAATCACCCACGAACAGCAACACTGCCTTTGTTTGGGTTATTAGCCTGGAGCAGAAGCCTCCGCGCCCAACTCCCGGCCCAGCTGTGGACGCCGGCACATCTGGGCAGGACCCTGGGCGCGCAGCCACGGCCGCCGGCCGCCAGCCCAGCGCGGAGCCCAGCAGCGGCACCGAGGCGGACGCAGCGCCGTGGCCTGCTTTTGTCCAGACTCGCAGGCCCCGCGGCCCAGCCCTGAGACCGGCTGGGCGGCCTTCTTGGCCCGTTCCCCCAGCCCTCACCCGATGCATGCGCAGGGGTGGGGACGCGGGGGCCACAGGGGCGGAGAGAACGGCCTGAGACCCGCCAAGCAGGACTCCGCTGCGGTCTCTCTCCCTGGGCTCCGCTGGTCTGCCCTGGCCTGCCTGCTTGTGGGCGGCCCGGGGGGCCAGGGAAGAAGGGACGCAAGGGACGTGGGACCCTGCTGCAGCGCGCCCGCAGGGCGCAAGGGCTTCCGGTTCCTCCCCCTCTCACACGGAAACGCCCCCGCTGACACTGACCGAGGTGGCCTTGCTCCTGGGTCACCTTGAGCACACGGTCCCCGGGGCGGGGGTGAGGGAAGCTTGCGCCCCCTGGAGGCCAGCCGGGCTGAGTGGCCGTGGAGAGAGACCTCAAATCCGCGGCCAGGCCCTGTGGCCTCTTTGTACTGTTTGGCTGAACGAAGTGCTCTGGGCCACGGTTTACTTGGTTGGAAACGGGGACATTCGTTCCTGCCTCGTGAGGGGTTCGGGCCAGTGGAGAGGGAAACTGTGGACCCCCGGCTGAGGCCACACCGCGCTTCCCGCGCTGGCCCCGTTTATGGCCGTGAAAACCCGGGGGCCGGGGCCCGGTGGCAGGTGGCCTCGCCTGGGCCACTTCTTTTGTGCATGAAATATGTGTTAAATATTCATCACCTGCCACAGTTCTTAATTGGTTAGATGGCTGTATTTCTAATATTTTCTCACTAAAGAGGTGTCTGTTCTTTTCTACATACAGCTTTAGTAGAAGAGAGAATTTTAAATAAGTCGTTCAGCTGAGGAGAGAACTCTAAGTAACAGTAAACACATTTCTTAAAGGAATCCATGTTGTTATTCCACTAAAGTCAGAATAAACGAACGTCCTGAAATACTGGGGACAAAACGGCCTTGAATCTGCGGTTGTGAAACAGATCTGAGACTTGCCGCCAAGTGTGCTTTCGCGCACAGGATGCTGGGGGGCAAGGCCACCGGCCGGAGGTGACCTTGTGGACGGGCTCCCGACTGCGGCGACCTTTACCCTGCAGAGATTAACCTGGTGACGCGTGTCCTTTGTAAGACTTTGTGGCGAGGAGCCAGGCCCTCTGCTCAGCAACTGCCGCGGGCCCATCGCTGCCGCCCCCAGGTCCCGCCCCGGCGGCGGCCCATGCGGCGCAGACATGCACACACGGCACCTCCCTGCCCGTGCTCCCCGGCTTTCTTTTGCTTAATCAAAAGCAAATACCTCTCTGCAATGCAGGTAGCTGGTCTGTCACTCACGCCAGGATGCGGGGCCCTCGCCGCACGAGGCTTTTAGTTGAACGACTCCCACGCCTGGGCCTCTGGGCCTCCTACTAACCGGTCACACACACAGTGGAGGAGAAGCTTCGTGAGGGGTCAGCCAGGCGCTCTGACTCGGAGCCGCCTCGGTGGGTAAGGGTGCTGTTCCACACTTCGGTCATTGGACACGCAGCATTTTGTGGGCCATGTGATGTCAGGTTGCAATGCCTCTAAAAAATGCCAGCATAGCTCATCTCTCAGCAGCTGAAACGATTTCCTGAGTGTGAGGACCTCGTGATGGCCCCTAGGCTCTGTCCTAGAATCCCACCGGGAGCACCGAGCCGTTTGGTGTATGGGAGCCGACGGCCCTAAGTCAGCCCCACTCCCGCGAGGCGCGGGAGAGCGCGCGTAGACCTGGAGGCCTGTGCGCTCGCGTGGCAACACTGCAGCGCAGGAAAATGGCTTCAGGGCGCTGTGCCTCAGGCAACGGTCCCGTCTTTAAAGGGCTGGAAGAAACGCGTGTCAGCCCAGAGTTCTCTACCCAGCGAAACTATCCTTCGGAAATGGCGGCGATGTGAAGACATTTTGAAATAAAGAAAATGAAGGTTAAGGAAATTTGTTGCCAGCAGACCTACACTAAGATAAATATGAAAGGAAGCTCTGCAGCAGGAAGGGAAATGACACCAAGTGGGAAGGTGGATCAACAGGAAGGGATGAAAGTACGGAGGGAGGCGGGCCGGAGAAGAAACCGATTCCCAACGGGCGGCGCGAGCAACCCCGAGAGGACGCCTGCGGCCCGAGGGGGCCGCTCTGGGGGCGGGGCGGGGCGTCCCTCCGAGGAAGAAGCCGTTTCTCACCCGGCTGGGCGCCCCGCCCGACGCAGCGACTGCGCTGGGAAATCTGCAGGAGGACGTGGGGTGGGGGCCCTGGAGGAAGGCCGCTCACGCCAGCCGGAGGGGAGCAGGGCCCACGGGCGTCGGCGAAAGGCGCCAACCCGCAGGGTTTGAAATTAAACTGGAAGAGGGACCAGAACGGGGCCAAGACGCGAGGGGCGCAGTCGGTACCTTGAGGACCATGTGCACCATCATCTGCAGGCCGCTCTTGCCGGGGTACTTGCCGGCGATGTTATCTGCGGACAAGTTGAAGAGGTTGGCTCCTGTCTCACTGCAGATGGCGTGGACCAGCATTTTCTTCCCGACCCCTGATGGCCCGGCCAGCAGCAGGGACTTCACCAGGGGTGCCTTCTCGTGCACCTCGGCGGAACCTGGAAGAGGCAGGGCCAGTGAGCCCGTGGTCCTGGGGCTCGAGGCCCTGACTCCCCGGCGCGGCCCCGCTTCTGCCACCGCGATGAACGCGCCGCAAGCGCCGCTGGCCAGAGGCGGCTCTGCGGCTCGGCTGGCTCTGCGTCACTCTGACGCGGGCGGGGCCCTGGGGTCTCTCTAGTATTCAGCACATTGTTTCTGCTCCACCCCTCACCCTAGACTTTCCCCCAAACTCATAATTTTAAAGAACGTTCCTGTAATAATTTACCTCTGGCATTTTGGGGAGGCGGGGTGGGGGAGGTTTCTCTGCTTGTCGGCAGCAGCTCGTCCTCTGAGAGCTCGGGAAGAGGATGAGCATGGCCAGGAAGGGGACCGACACGGGTCCACCAGCGATTCTTAGGGGACAAGGGGGAACCCAAGACCCTGCCTGGTTCCAAGCCTGTCGGCCGCGGCGCATCCACTTGACCCTTGACAGGAGAGCGCCCTGAGTTCCGGGCCTCATGCCCCCAGCCCCGCGGTCCGGCTCCTTCGACCCAGGCGGGGACGCGGCCCGGAGTGTCTCCCACGGTCCCCACAGCCAGCGGCGCCCACAGTGCGCCGCGCCGTTCTGCAGCGAGCAGAACGCACCCTAGGGAGGGCCCTCGCGCAGGCAGCTGTCCCTCCCGTGTGCCTTGGCTCAGCCGCCGGGCGCTTTCTGAGCCGTTATAAATACATCGCTATTATAATTATTATGGTGCTTTGCCTTTTTTTCTTCTCTCATGTAACTGAAAAGGTGTCGTGAATTGACCAAACAGTTAGAAACAATTTTTGTGGTTACCTAACCTACGCTGCGCGAACTTGGAAATGATTTGGAGCAACTGCTCTGTAAAATGGTGTTAACTAGTCATGCTTTATCGGCGGTGACTGGCAGATCAAGGAGATGCTGTTTTCCATGCAGGAGAGGGACGCCCATTCAGGGGGCCTTCTTAGCACCTGGGCCTCGAGGGAGGGCTGCTCAGCTCCTGGTCCGGCGGTGGCCTTCGGGTTCCAACGTGAAGAGAATTAACGTTGTAAATTCATTAAACCTGAGTGAGCATGACTAGAATGGAAGGCAAACAATGCTAAGATCCATGAGAGCCACGGAGAGTTCAGAGAAGAAACTGCATTTAACGTGGGCGGTGGCTGGGTGGGTGTGGCCCAGGCAGGCTTCCTGGAGGAGGTGGCGTCTGAGCGGGCCTCTGAAGCACAGGCAGAACGGGAGATTGCAGGGAAGGGGACCTGTGGGAGGGTTCCAAGCGGGGGGGAACGCAGGCCTGGCCTGGGGAGTCCAGCAGGTGCCGGGGACCGGCGGATGCCTGACCGGGGACGCGGTAGGCGCCGCATGAGGTGGAGGGAGACATACCGCCGGCCGCAGGGTCCCTGGATGGCAGTCTGGGCTGCAGACTAGCCAAGGCTGCTGGCTGAGGCCGGGGTGGGGGAGATGCCTGGGCAGGGTGTGCGGGGGGGAGTGCTAGGGACAGACTCTGGGGAGGGGACAGTTGGCTGCAAGGGCGTGGATGGGGGAGACCTAGGAAAAGGTGCGTATTTGCTGCAGGGAGGTGACTTTGCAGAAGGAAGGGGGCGGTCGCCAAGGTCACTCAGGCAGGGAAAGGGTGAGGGCTGGGAAGGCCTCTGCACCCAGGCCTTCTGGGCCTCTGAACAGCTGATTGGTGGGGACCGGCAAGGGTAGGTGATGGGGACACGCCTACCACAGCATCCACGGCTCTTCCTGCCCACCTCAACGTTCGGTGGCATTTTTGGACAAAATACGGAGAATGACGTAGAGACGGAGCAAGTTTCCAGGCTCTCCGGCTTTCGGAGCAGCCGGCGCGCCGCGTCTGGAGCCAGGTCTGCGGCTCCCCAGCGCCGGGCTCTGCACGGCTCGCTCGTCTGGAAAAGCGGGGTCACCGTCCACCCGGACGGGCTCTGCTGGGCAGCGACACAGCCCCTGAAACTCCGAGCGGCAGGCCGTTCTGCTCCGCGGGCACCCCCTCCCCTGCCCGCCCTGTGTGGGGACAGCAGCATTTCCGGGGTGGGGGGGACGCTGAGCAGAGGCGTCCCCGGCAGAGGTGTCCTCTGTGCGCCCGGGGGGCTCAGAGAGCTCAGACCTGGTCCCAGGAGCCCGGGCAGAGCCTGTGTGTCGGGGGAGGCGGGTGGGGGGAGCGTGGGCAGTGGCTTCGGCCCGTGGCTTCAGTGTCCTCTGCCAAGTGGCCGAATTGCTCAGTCCCGGCAGCGATGACCTGAACCATCGGGGCCAACAAACGCGTCCCTTTTTGTGACAGGACCCTCGGTTTGACGGCTGAAATTTAAATCCAGCTCTTGAAAGGCGGGCGCCAACACAGTTCTCTGCCTGCCCTGCGGCTGTGCACGGCGCATGCGCACCGGTCACCAGCGCAAACGCCCACCCGCCCGGGGCCTGGGGAGGCCGTGGCCGGACGCGGCTTCAGGTTCCTTGCTGACAACAGGGGGGTCCAGGCAGGGCGCTTCCTGAGCATCCTTCACCGGATGCTCTCCAGGCGTCTTGGAAACGACGCCCGTCCCCTGTGCGGAGGAGCGGACACCAACGCACCCTGCCCCACGTGTGAGGAGTTTCCTTAAAGACCTGCAGCTCCTCTTGGTCTCTGGGCTCCAACGCCTTCCTTCCACTGGGATGACACGGGAGGGCTAAGCTCTTTACTCATTTACATGGACCTGGAGATACCGCGCATTTATTGTGTTGATCCCAAATCACGTGGGCCCTCCAGTGTCCCCTGTTGGTGTGTGTCATATTTGTTTTACCAATGTCTACCCCAAATCCCACTTACTACTTCTCACATCAAGTTAGAAGAGGAATAATGAACTATTTCTTGCCAGTAGGTTGAAGTTCTTAAGTCCAAGTACCCAAGCTACTCCCACCTCATTTTAAAGCAAATTAAGCAAACAAAACGCGGTTTCTGGTTCAGAATAGCCGCCGGAGCAGCGGGCGGCCGGGCTCCTGCCCCTGCCCGGCCGACTCCGGCCACGCACGGCCTCAGGTCATAAAGCGAACAGAGCAACAGCGGCAGAGCTGGGTCCTAGGGCACCCGCCCCGTGGCCTTTCACGGAGCTTGGGTCCACGTGGTCTGAACAGTCGCGACCGCGCCGCCCCCAGCGGTGACCGCGGACCCCGGGGACCCCAGCAGAGCCTCGCTCCCGGAGGGTCAGGAAGCGCCCTGTCAGTGACTCCGGGGCAGACCGAGGGACAGAGGCCTGGGTGTGGGGGCGGGCTGTAACCTCCGCCCTTGCTCCAGTGAGATGCGTCCTCTCCGCGGGTGCTTGCTGTGGCTGCTCTCTCCCCAGGTGACGGCCCGCGGGACCGTCCATCCATGGGGTGCGCCAGGCACTCACGCGTGCTCCTCGGGGCGCCTCTCAGGGTGCCCTGAAGGCACCATCATGGTGGAACTGCCCCCACGCACAGCTCAAGAGGGAGGGCAAAGCTGCCACGCACGGTGCCGACCTCCAGGAAGACAGTCAGTCAGAGAAGCACGTGGTGTGCCCGGCGTCCGGAAAGGGCATGGCAGGGCGCGCGGGGTCCTTACCTAGGGGCAGGATGCCATACAGGGCGACGAGCTGCCGCACATCCAGGAGGGAAGGCATGGGCTCCACGGACACCTGGCGGAGAGTGGTCCCCAGGTAGCTGTACTCCCCTGCGGAGAGCAAGCGGGACAAGTGAGCAGCAGCTGCGGTCCTGGCCGCCCCGGCTTTTGGCGCCTGCCGAGTGAGCACGCGCGCAAACCCTGCAGCCCTAAGCAGAGACAGTCGTCGGACGGAGGGTCTGTGTGCAGGACGCAGCTCCTCCCAGAGAAAGGCTTCGAGAGAAACGTCCAGTCGCGAAAGCGCACTGGTGTCGGCACCAGGCCAATGCTGACCTCTCCATGTTTTTAAAAAATAACCTTTGAATACGGGGCTTGTGAAGAGGATCAAAGTCCTAAAATGAGGGGCATACAAAGAAGGCTAAAACATGGCCGGTTGTGTTTAATGGATATTCTAAGAGATTCTGCCGAACATTGGCACAAACTTTAAAACTAAATTATTGAAGACCGCCCTGTGAAACCTCTATCCGAGCAGGCCAAAGCTGAATGTAAAATGCCGTCATTTGCAAGGAAGGGCATGAGCCTAATTTAGGATAAATAGAAACATCTCTTTTTGAGGGTAAAATTCATTTACATTTTTAAAGGCTCACCGAAGGAATAATACAGAAATAAATCTTTTCCGATTTAATTAGAAGGCATCAAAGGGCTTAATTGTAGCTGGTCGTAAATCTGAAGTGCTATTTTCTAACTACTCTAGATAAGGTCACCGCCAGAATGAGCCCGGCTGTCTTCATCTGTCAGGGACAGACCCTGCCCCCTCACAACGCTCTCTCTTGATTTGCACCAGAATCTGAAGGGAAAACACTACATGATCGCGTTTCCTGACTCTACAGTGAATACAGTTCTGGCTGAACTTTTGCTGTTCACATACGTACGACAAATAGACTTACGTGTGTGTATAAAAATACACTTGTGTGCGTAGGAAATACTGAAAACATTGAACGCTTTAAAGCACGTTCGGATGCTAAGGAAACCAGGGTAACAAGCCGGGTGACGCCTGCTCTTTCGGCGTGGGGGCAGCCTGCCACAGCCGCCACACGGCCACTGAGGCCATGGGCCAGGGCCGCGCTGGTGGGGGCGCGAGGGATGGGACAGTGTCCGTCACGGCTTCGCGTCACGCACCCTCTGACAAGCAGGCAGTAAGCAGGCCGGGGGCTAACGTCGCGTCGCTAAGCTGGCAGAGGCCCCGCGCCGGCGTTAAACCCGGACTCACTGCCGTAGACGCGTCATTGGGGGCGGGATGAAAAGGCCCCTTCGCCCAGCCTAAGTGAATCCACGTTCGTGTCCCATGCACCCTGCCTCTGGCGCCGGACACGCTTTATCTGGACAGGTTATAAGAAGCTGAACAGTGCGCGTGGATCGGACGGAGCGGAGGACACACAAGCCGGGGCGTCGCCAAGTGACGCGACCTCCTGAAAGCCTGGGACTGCGTTTGCTGTTGTCCAGCGTGGAAGCCGCACGGCTGTGGCATCTCCCCAGCCAGCACCCAGGGCTCCTCCCTGCACGGAGACCAGCTGTCCCACGGGGAGGGACGGGACTCGGAGGCCAAAGGGTGCTGAGACGGGGGCGGGAGAAGGGCAAGGGACCTCGCGTCATGGCAGGAAATCAGCGAGTGTGTTAAGGGCTGGGCTGTGTCCCCTTGCCCTTCCTGTGCTGAAGCTGTCACCCCCAGCCTCTCAGAACGTCACCCGATTTGGAAACAGCGGTGTTGCTGTTGCAATTAGCTAAGATGAGGTCAGAGAGGTGGGGCCTAATCCAACCTGCCTGGTGTCCTTTGCGGGGATCCTGCACACTGACCCGCACGCGGGGAAGGCCCCGTGAGGAGGGACACAGAGACCAGGCAATGCGGCAGAAGCCAAGGAGCGCCAGGGCGGCCAGCCGACCGCCAGGGACAGGAGGCGGGGCGACGTGTCGGGCCAGTTGAGCCCGTGGAGCCCGCGGGCAGCTGGGCAGGCAGGCTGGCAGCACCGGGGGTCCGGGCAGCAGGGGGCGGGGCAGGGGTGCAGCAAGGGAGCCCACTCTCGCCGGCGCCTGCCGGGGGAACGGCCTGCCGAGCCCTGGGCCTCAGACTCCGGCCTCCAGACGGGGAGGCAGCCCCTCCGTGTGCGGCACTAACAGCAGCCCCAGCCAAGGAGTGAAGAATGAGTCCCGTAACTGAGGAGAACAGGGACATAAAAGCTCAGTTACAAAGTAATAAAGGTGGAATCCGCCTCCAACATTCCAGTCTGCCCCACACACAGCATTAGCAGGAGGACGCAGACTGCAGCAAGGGATTAAAAAAAACAGAACTACCTTGAGCAAGCTGCTCAAAGAAAGGGGCAGAGAGGATGCAGGGGGCGCCAGAAGAGAGGCAGCGCCAGCGGGTCTGCGGCCCCCCGGCCCCGCCCCCCCCGCCCCCCACGACACGGACCACACGAGGCAGCGTCTTCTCGTGACCAGGACTGCGGCTCATGAGAGACGGCGAAAATCCAGGGATATGTTTATAAAATTTTCTCTGACATTTAAAAATAGTTTGTTTGCCCTTGAGACTGGCTGCCAATTGATCAATGAGGAGCTATGATTTGACCTCTGACTTTTTATTTTCCTTCCCCTGAGGACATTTTTTAAAAATTGCTTGTAGAGGGAGAGGAAGGGAGAGAGAGACGCGCGTCGAGGCGAGAAAACTCCTGTCGGTGCCCCGACCGGGGGTGGGACCCGAGACCCAGGCGTGTGCCCCGACCAGGAACCGGACCCGCTGTCTTTCAGTTGCAGGGGGTGCTCCAGCCCATGGAGCCACCCCGGCCAGGGTTATAAAACTCGTGTTGAACACAGGCTGCCCGGCTTCCAGAATGAGGTCAGCAGGGGCCCGCCTATAGGCTCACTTTGTCCCGAAAGCTCGGCCAAGATGACGCACGAGCTGGGGCGCACAACTGCTCTGAGTCTGCTTGGGGGAACCAGCTGCTATTCACAGAGCAATGGACAGCCGGCTGCTGCCCCCTTGGCGTGCGTGGATGCACAAACACGCACAGAAAGGATGCCCCCGGGGACCTGGCCAGGAGGTTCCAGAACCTGCTTCCGCCGCGTGAGGGCGGAGAGCTGGACCCACGCACTCACAGCACAGACCGAATTCACGTCCATTCAACACCAACACACAGGGCCAGCTGCTCCGGGCAGGGCCTGGGGGTGGACAAACTGCAATGGGACACAGTTCCAGCTTCAGGGAGCTCACAGCCCAGGGCGGCCACCGGCCCCATGCACACACGGCTCCGCGTGTACTTTACCGATGTAATCCGAAAGCTTGACCTTCGGGGCCTGGACCAGCAGCCCCTCCTCCACCAGCTCCTTGTACAGGGATTCGATGGTTCTGGAAAGGGGGCGGACCGTCAGTGGCGTTTCTGTCTGTCACCACATCTTCCGAGAATGCCACCGGATCTATTTCAAAGTGCATTTGTACACAGGCCACAGAATGGGGTTCTGAGGCGTTTCTACGATTTGGGGATAAATTAGGCCTTCGAGAGAGAGCACTTTCACGCACCCATGTGCCCATCTGACGTCCCCATGAGTAGGTGACGTCTTTGGGCGGTTGAGAGCGGCGGCTGCTCCTGCAGCCTGCGCTTCCGTCCACCGGCACAAGGGCACGGACACAAATTAGTGATTACCCGTTGATAGTCACACAAGGAGCCCACAATTATATATTCAGTCAGCATCTGCGAGCCACGCCAGGCCATTAATCCTTCCTGAAATGGATGTTTCCTTTTAAGCCACTAGCGTAAGAGTTTGAAAGAGCTATCTATACAGAACAAAGGCTTTTAGGGGAAATAACTCTGCTATGAAAGAGACAGCACCTGAAGTGGCAAGTGCGATGATCTTGTAGGAGGATACGGGACTTCTCCATAGTGTTTGCAGATGTCAGAGCCGCGTCCCTAAGAGGCGCATGGGCACACGGCCAGCACGCGGGTAATTTATACCAGCTGAGGTGAAGGACGGAGACGTTCTCTGCTGGAGGACGGGACCCCCAGGGAAGCCGGCCGGGGCTTGGCTTGCGGGAATTCAGGGAGGTCAAGTTCAAATACTGTTTGGCATGATCCTACGAGATGTTTTGTCTTTTCCACTTTTACCCCCAGGGGACTCATTCTTTGGTCCTGCCTGAGTCTTTCTTCAGATTGAAGAATTGTAAATATGACCATGTTCAAACAGCTCTTGGCTGTTTCAGGATCTACGTTAGCATGATTAAAAGAGACTCTAGCCTATCAGAAACAAGCCAAATACCAGTGGGATAAATGTTAATTCCACAATCCCAGTCTTTGAGTGACTGGGATTTTATTCTACCAAATATATTTAGAATCGTGTGCTCTCTTCTGAGAATTAAGTAGGTTCTAGTTGTGATGGAATTTGGGATAACAGTGTCTGAATAATATCAAGGAAGTATCAACTATAGTAATTTAACTGGAATGATTTCTTTAATATAAACATATAGCATGCACAAAACATTACCATAAAATTGAATATCCTCTAAAATAATCAAAACAATATATTAAGAAGCCCCCAAAACAAACCTATATTGGGCTCTTTCCAGTGAAATGAACTTTCATTACAGGGTACACTTTCACCTTTAAAACTACCTTAAACTATTATTAAAATACTGGTTTAAGATTTCCGTTAATTTGATGAACAGAAGTTGTCTCACAGCCTCTCAGTACTTCCTTGAAAGTGGGATCAGGATGCTATGTTTTAGGCCATTTCTTAAGAACCTCATGGGTTTTAAAACCTAAGGAGAGTCCCATGAGCTCAGAAGCCCCGGGCTCCTCCTCCGGGCGCCTCTTCCCCGGGGGCGGTGCTGCGAGCAGGCCCGCGCCGCGAGGCCCGGCGCTGTCCCCACGACGCCCGCCCGGCAGGCCCCTCTGCCAGGCCAAGGCCAGGGACCTGGGTCGCGTCCCGTCTCCTCCCGGGGTGCCCCCCGCCACACGCTTTACAGCAACACACGTGCACTCCTCACCTGTCAGCTGTCAGGTCTTTTTCCTTCTTCCCTTTCCTGCCTTTCTTCCTTTTCTGGAAGGAAATGGAATATTCAACAATTTGGGAAACACAAGGAAGCAAATTAACTGCAGAGAGCAGCCGAGGGAGCTGGCGTTGGGCGTTGGGCATTGGGCGGCGGCAGCGGGGAGGGCGAGGGGAGAGGCCGGCTGCGGTGCGCGAACGTGGGGTGGGCGGAAGCCACGTGTGCGTGAACGGAGGGCCGTGTCCCTGGGTGGACAGAGGGAGGCCCCCGCTGCGGTGGCCTCACGGGCCGCATCCCCGGCGGGCTCGAACGCTGCGGTTCCCCTCCTCCGGCCCTGGCCCCCCGGGCAGGACAGAGGGCGAGGGCCGCGTGCGGGGGCAGCCAGCCTCGCCGTCCCTGGTGCCCAGTCCCCTCTCCCTGCGGCGTCCGGGCTGAAACGGGAGCCCGCAGGGCCAGGGCCCTCTGGTCCCCGAAGGGCTCTGCCTTCTGGGACTTGCGGCAGCTGGGGAGGGCTGAGAAGGCAACCTTTGCACGCTGTGCCAGCTGCCTCTCCGTTCTGACAACACTGCCCGCGGCCCCCAGGGGCCGGTGCAGGTTCCTCCGCCCCAGCCCAAAGCTCCCCCGTGCCCGCCCCCCCCCCCCCCGTCTCTTCCTTTCCCGGCTCATCTTCTAGGCCAGGCCCCCGCCGGTGGCCCCGGCCCCGGGCGCACGGAGGGACCGGCGGGCCCTTTCCTAGCGTTCCGCTCTCTCTCCCCCCATGCCTTCTACTTTCTCATTCACTCGATCACTCATCTCTATTGCAGTGCCATTGACGTACAGTAGCGCGTATCCACATGCGGATTAATGCCCACACAGGACGACACTGACTTTCACATACAACCGCACGCCCAGGTCGCATGTACAACCTGTCCTCACCGCCCGAACCCTCTCCCCGGCCGCCCTCCCGCGGCTCACGCGCTCCTCCGCCCCCGGGGACCCGGCCTGCCCGCTCTGGCGCAGGGAATCACACCCCGGGAATCACACCCCGGGAGCCCCCTCACGTCTGGCTCCTTCCAGCTGGTATTACGACCGCAAGGTCCACGTGTGTGGTCGCACACAGCCACTTGGGTTGCCCTGTCTTTTAAAGATGGATTTTTAAATCCAGAGATCACGGCGGGTGCGCCTGCAGCTGCCAGGAGCAGCGCGGAGCGACCCTGGGTGCCCTGGGGGCCGTCCCAGCGCTGGCGCCTTGCGGCCCTGCCCCCCACGGCCTCCGCCCGGACACGGACGGCAGCCCTGACCTGGTCCCCACGGGGCCCTCCCACGGTCACGCTCGCCTCCCCGCCGCGCGCGGCCGTCCCGGACCCTGCAAACGCCCCGTCCTGTCCGCCGCCTTGGCTGGGGCTTCCAGGGCGCCGCCGCCTCGCTCGGGACAACGGGCAAGGCGGGCCTCTTCCCGCCGGCGGGCGCTCTGTGGGCGCCCTTCTCCACGCTCAGCAAGGTCGCTGTCCCAGCTCCTGCGGGACGTGCTGTGCACGCGTGCTAAACGACAGCAAATGCGCTCTTCTGCATTAACATCATCGTGTAGTATTTTCTTCAGCCTGTTAACACAGGTGACGGCAATTGTTCATTTTCAAATATTGCACTAAACTTGCATTCCTGGAATGAGCCCACTTGGTCACAGTTCGTAATTCATTCTGCATATTGTTAAACTCTGTTTGCTAAAATTTTGTAAAGGACGTTTGCATCTGTACCCATGAAGGACAAAGGCCCTTGGTTTCCTTTTTTTCGTGCTGTCTTTGGTTTTTGAATCGGGGTAATACTCGCTCCATGGAAGGAGCCGGGAAGTGTTTCTTTCTCTTCTATTTTCTGGAAGCAACCGGGCAGAGTTGGTGTTCATTCCCCTTCACACTCTCAGTAGAATTCTCCAGTGAGGCCCTCCCCGCCGGAAGCTCTACGCGGGGAGGTGTTCTCACGACAACGGCAACCTCCTCGCTCGCCCCAAGGCTGCCCCCGCGGCCTGTCTTGCTCGCTGTCACGGGCGAGCTGCAGGGGCTTGCGGGCTGGCAGGGTGGGCCCCCCGCCCCGTGCACGCTGTCAAATTACACGAGCGGAGTTGTTGGTGCGGGTCCCTCCCGCGCCCGAGGTCTGTCGTCCGCAGTGACACCCCTTGTTTCGTGCCTCATGTTGGTCACTTGTGTTTTCTTTTTTCTCTGTCAGTCTTACGTGAGGTTTGTCAATGTTATGGATTATTTTTGAAGAGCCGGCTCCATTTCATTGATTTTCTCTATTGCTTTTTGTTTCACTAATTTCTGCTTATTTTGTATTGTTTTGTTTTTTCTGCTCATTTTAATTTTGTTTTGGTTTGGTTTTTTGCTCTTCTTTTTCTAGGTCCTCCAGGTGGGAGCTGAGATGTCTGATCTGAGACTTCTCCTCTTTTTCTGTGCTTGTGGTTGAAGCCCACGCAGGTTCCGACGTGGCTCCCCCGGCACGGGGCACCGGAGGGCTCGGTGCCAGTCCGCAGGGCTGAGTCGTTACTTTCTCTGTATTGTCCTTTATATTCTTTGTTCTTTCTTCGCTTTGGTTTGGATTTCTCACTGACCTGCCTTTGAATTCCGCCTGTCTTCTGCTATGTGTATCTCTGATACTGTGTTTTTCACTCCAATGTTCATTTGCTTCTTTAGATTCTACATTTCTGTATAAATATGGCATTTTTCCCACCTATATACACTGGCGCTCCCGGGAGTGCACAGCACAGCCCAGGGCCAGGCTCCGAAGGAGCGTTGAGGTCCTGCGCACGCTGGTGGCCTGGAGGCCCTATGATCTGTCACGACAAGCGAGTGGCTCGGGAGAGGTGGCCTCCGAGAGGCAGGGCCGGCGGTGCCGTCATAGGGGCACCAGCTGGCACGAGCAAAGCGGTTAATTTATAAAGAGGGAGATGACTGTTGAGAGACGCGGACCCTGCAGACGTCCCCCTGGTAGGAAAGGCCGCGTGGAACCACGGAACTCATCGCCCGGTCGCGTGGGGAGCCCGCGTCCGCAAGGGACCGGCTGGATGCCCCGGGCCGCTACTGATGCCGTCCCTGGCACCACGATCGGTGCTCCAGACCCCCGGCCGCAGAGCGGAGGGTCCACAGTGCCCGCTTGGGGCACCGATCCTGTGCTGGAATGGCTCACGGTCTTCAGGGGACATGTTCACTGGCTTCTTAAAAGACTTTGCAAAGAACACAGATCGGCAGCCAGAGGAAGCGGGATGGGACAGCCCCGAGCACAGGAGCTTCTGTCCCTGCAAGGTTGGGGCGCGCCGCCCTCCTGGCACGAGGACGCATTCGCCATCCCGAACACTCCCCGGAGCCCCTGGGGGTTTTCTATGGAGGCTTCCCCGCTCGGCAGGCGTGCTCAGCGGTCCCCCGCCTCCAGCCCGTCTTCCTGGGCTTGGGCACGGGAGGCGGGACTAAAGCCCCGGACTTCTTATCTCCACGGGGTCTTCCTGGGACCCCTCCCTCCTGGGAGCTGCCGGGAGCTGCCCGGAGTCGCCTCATCAGGACACCTGGGGTTCCAAGTGCTCTTGTCACTCGGAAATGTGCGCGGGCGTCCGAAGCACGATGCCAGGAACAGGCGCAGAGGCGGTTGCGCGTGTTCTCCATGACCTCACAGAGGCCGAGTGCGGGGACTGAATTCCGGGATCCCACTGGTTGCTCCACACCACTGTGACCTGGATCGGTGGCCATTTAACATCCGCGTCGTCCTCCAAGGACCTTGCTCTTTGCCATTGGCCCCTCCACCCCCTCGGACCTACCTACAGGGGCAGGCGCGTGGGCATTTGGGGCACGGGCCCTGGCCCCTCAGGCGGTTCTCACGCCCTCGCTGGGGCCTGAGGAATAAGAAAATCCGCAAGGGTGAGGGGCTGACTTCTTCCCAGCCGTGAGCCCACCGCCGCGGGGCCTGAGGGTGCCGCAGGAGCACTGAGGAAAGGAAGGCGTGTCCGCGGGACGCGGCCCGGACGCCGGGGCAGCCGGCCCCACTCCTGGCCACGCCGCTGGCGCCCGACGGGGGCCACAGTCCGCCCTCGGCCTCACCCATCCCCCAGCCCGTTCACTACTCACATTTTTACCTCCTTTGTTCTTTTTTGTTTTGGCCGGAAGTTCCTTTTCTCTGCTCACAGCGAGTTTTAAGTTTTTTAGTTCCTGTCTCATCAGCTCATCAACCTGGGTGAGTACAAAACATACCTCTTTTAAGGACTCTGCATGCCTTGTGTTTACATGAAGGTGAAGCGTGGCTTCAGTTCTGGGTCGGTCAGGGGAGGGAAGCGCACGAGGGGCGGCGGCGGCGGGGAGGGCGGGAGTCCGCGCGCACCCCTGCCGAGGGCTGAGGGCCGCGGGCCGCGGGGGTCAGCGAGCCACGGTATGGCTCTACCTGTACCCGGGTCTCCGACTCCAGCTCCTTCCACTTCTCCTCTTTGATCATTCCCGGGTCGTAGTCCTGGGAGAAATTCCAGGACTCGTCTCTGTTCTTCCACATGTCTATGTGTCAGAAAGACAAGGAAAAGCAAAGTGAACATTTCCTTCAACAGGAAGACCAACGAGAGCAGCTGCTGCAACATAACACACGTTTAATTTTCTATCTCACTGCCCGGATGGGATCGAAGTCTAACGGAGAAGAATAATCAGGAGGTAATGGGATTCCTACGTCCCCTTCTTCTGCTTCCTAAATAGAAGAGATGTGCTTGTAAAACATCTAAAAAATAATGAAAACTGCTAATGTGGAAATAGCGAATAAAAAAGCATGCTGCAAATAGTACTTTTCTATACAGTCATAACCATGTAAACACGTATTGATTATGGGATGACACAGTTCTGAGGTGACTATTTTTGCAAACTGTTTTATATTACTTTCATTATTCAAATGAATCACTACAATATGAGAGAGGTCGCTGCTAGTTCAGCTCATCCAAGCTGGCCCCGGGCCCCCTGCGAGGACACGCCACTGAGCGCACGAGCACCCGTGACCCGCCCCAATGCAACAGCTGCGCGAAGCCGCGCGTCTCTTACGCAGCCTCCTCGCCCTGCCCCGGCACTTAGGAGGGCAGTTAGAGAAACGGGGCCCTGCAGGGCACAGGGAGAACGCCGTGTCACCGAGTCAACGGAAACAACATTCATTCCTCAGGAGGTGTGCCTGGGTGCCGGGCACTGGGGGTCTCCCACGGGGCTGGGGGTCTCCCACGGGGGACGAGAGGGCCAGTTTGGGAGATGAGACCTCCTTCTGCCATCTGCGGCCGGGATCTGAGGGAAACTGGAGGGACCCGGACCTGCAACCGCCACCCAGCGTGGCGGCTCCCCTGGGAACTCATTGTCAGGCAGTGATTCCCACTAAGTTGGAGGGCAGGGCACCTGAGGGCCCTGGGGGTCCAGCAGAGGCCTCACCACCTCTGCCGATGGCTGCGGCGTGGGAGGCCCGGGGTCCTGCAGCCTGGACGCAGGCGGTGCCATGAGTGACCGCGATGAGGTTTCCCAAGCAGCTGTCCCCCACGATGACGGCCCGGCGAGCTGCGGCTGGCCAGGCCTGGGGCCCCGATGCTGCTGACCGAGAAGGAAGGGGCGGAGCTTAAATGTGACCCCGAGAGGACAGTCACAGTCACAGACCGAAACTACATCTGGCCGCTCCAGAGAGCAAGCGGCGTCCACCGTGAAGCCTGCGAGCAGAAGAGGTGCCTGGAGAGTCACAGGCACACACACGGGCGGGAGGGTAGGAGCTCTACACAAGCCGAGGGGCGAGAAGAGCAAGGCCCGGGGACAAGAAGGGACGGGTCCAGGCCGGGCTGCAGAGCCCGGAGAGACGGGCAAAGTGACGGGGGGTTCGGGTGCACAACGGCAAACGCGCACGACAGCCATCGCGGGGGCCTCGGCGACCTGACTCCTGCCGGGGCGCCGCCTGGGGTCGGGCAGAGCCCCACCCGTGCCCAGGGTCTGCCTCCTGAGCGAAGAGAGCCTCTCAGGACAGCTGCCGCGCTGGAAACGGCTGTGCCCAAAGGGCAGGCGCAGGTCGGCCACGTGGGAAGGGGGCGCCTGGGAGCCCGTGCGGGCGGCCTCTCAGGGGTCAGGGCCGGCACCCCGCAGGGCGGGGCCCCGTCAGAAGGCGAGGTGTGGGACTGCAGCTGCGGCTCCCCAAACACGATGGCATTGGGTCTACAAGCCACGGGCCACAGGCCCTCGCACGGCTGCCAGTGGCTGGCCTGGAGAGTTCCAGGAGCAGAAACGGTCATCGCCGGCTGCTTGCTACTCACAGGCCAGGCGGGCCCACCTCACTTCCCGGGGGACTGTTGGCCCCCGGTACAGCAGGGGCTCCCAGGCTCCCCCGCCTTCCCCCAGCGGACCGAGGGGGTGTGGCCTGGGCAGGGCCAGGCCAGTTGCCAGCTGCCCAGTCTCCGCCAGGCAGACCTAACGGAAAAGTTCCAGGGGAGGCACCGTCCCGGCGGGGCGGGTGGCCAGTCTGGAACTGAGGGGAGAAGACCCCACAAGGCGGACACGGGCCAGACGCGGCAGGAGTGGGCACCCAGGGCGTGGCTGGCCGGTGGGGCTGCGTTTTTACTGTTTTAAACAATCGTCCCCAGGAGTGAGCCGCTGGGGCCTCTCCTGTTTCCCAGGCCCAGGGTGTGGAGACACACTGCGTAAACTGTGTCACCCAGGGGCGCGGAAAGCGCTTTGCGTCGTAAGCAGCTGAGTTTGATCTTCGCCCTGAGCCCCCGCAGGTGACTTTGTGGTTGGCGTGTCAGGGGTGCGCCCCCCAGGCCCCCCGGTTGGCTGAACCGCACATCCCTGGCTACGCTGTGGGGCGCGCGCGCTGGGGGACTGGCACCGCGATCCTTTCTGTGTATCAAGTTGTAAGCTTTTCTCCTGGAAAATACTACAAAAGGTTTAAATGTGTCCTATTTATTAAGAGCAAATATACTATTAACTAATAACAACGAGTGAAAATGTACTATCTACTTATAGCAACTCTTTTCTATTTTGTATGGGGACTGTATCCTCTCCATCAGCAAAACTCACCTGTTTCATTAAGATTTTTTAAAGCAAAATTGCTGTGTTATTTATTGACTTTGCTTTTTCCCTAGGTAGAGCCACCAAATTTGGGAAGCAATGCATTTAATAATGAAAAGATGAACAAACAGCAAGAGCCGGTGAGGATGTGGAGAAAAGGGAACCCTTGTGTGCTGTTGGTGGGAACGCAGACTGTTCCCGCTGTGGGGGGCGGTACGGAAGGTCCTCACAAAATTAAAAATGGAACTTCCTTGTGACCTAGCGTCCCCCGATCCCACCTCTGGGTATGTATCCAAAGAAAACCAAAACACGGAAGGATATATGCACCGCCATGTTCACTGCAGCGTTATTTACAATAGCTAAGCTATGAAAGCAACGCAAGTGCCCATCAATAGGCGCGTAGGTAAAAAAAAGCCATGGTACGTTGACACAAGGGAATATTACTCAGCCATAAAAAAGGGTGGAATTTTACCATTTGCAACAACATGGATGTACCTAGAGGGTGTTATGCTAAACTAAGTCAGTCAGTGAGAGAAAGACAAATACTATAGGATTTCACTTATGCGTGGAATCTAAAGAACAATATAAACAAACGAAACAGAATCAGACTCATAGACACAGAGAAGAGACTGGCGCTCGCCAGAGGGGTGGGGGTAGGGGGGCCGGGCAAAAGGAGAAGGGATTAAGAAGCACTAAGGGGTAGCTACAGAATAGCCGCGGGGTATAAATACAACATAGGGAATGCAGGCAATAACACTGCAATAACTACACACGTGCCAGGTGGGAAAAAAGTAAAAAAATAAACGAAAAGAAGCAAGGGACACGGCCTCGCAGGGAGAGGGTGCCGCGACGTGACCGCCGAGGCAGCGGCCCTCGCCCCTCGGCCGGCGGCTCTCCCGGCGCGGCAGCGGCAGGACACAGCGACGCCCTGCCGCCCGCTCCGGCCCGTTCTCACGGACTTCGCTTCCACCGAGGCTGCGCCTTTCTCATGACACTTCTGCCCAGGGCACTTCCAATCCCTTCAGGAATGTCATGGGCGTTTGTAAACGCGGGGAGCTATTCACGGGCCCGGAGGGCCAGCCCGGCTGCTCCCTCCGACGGGAGAATGAGCCTTTATCCGGACCCTGAAAAGCGTGGCGCTTTCACACATCAGGGGCTGACGAGGGAGGGGGCTTCATCTCAGCGATTAAAATGCTAATGTTTTATTTGAAAAGGGAAACCTTTGATTTTTAAGAAAAGAGGTCTAAGACAAGACACTGCATTTCTTTACATGGCCAAAGACCTGGCAGATAATCCGTGCAATGCCACCACGTCCCACCGGGGCAGTGACACGGTGTCGGCCCCGGAAGGATCGCTGCCTGGGTTTGCGTTTTCCTTTTTTTTCTCTTTTGGCCTTAATGGAAACAGATATTACACAAAAGGCGTGGACAGTCTCAAGGGCTTTCCTGGGTGAGTCAGTGGGTTAAAAGACGAGGCTCCCCATGGAAGCACAAGATTTCCCCCAAATTAATGTTTGCTTTTATCAAAATAACGCAGACGCGCTGTGTTAAACGGCGTCAGAGAGTATTGGAAGGCTCCGGCGAAGAACGGCCCAGCCCTCCTGCCCGACGGCTCCCATGCCCACGACCGTGTATTCACAGAAGCTGCACGGAACACACGGCGACGCAGTCATGAATCTGACTTACTCAGATCTTATCTAATTTATAAGTAATTTACGCGTAAACCGTTAGTTCGCGACGTCACCGAGCCCACTCACCAGCCAGGCACTGCTCTGAGAAGGGCCGTGGGTAGCAGGTCCTGCCCCCGGGACCTGGTGTCCCTGGCAGGGAGACAGGGGGCTCGCACATCCTGGCCAGGCAGAGGGGGGTGGAGATGGCTCAGGGCGGGGCTCAGGGTGGGCGGGACGGGGGCAGCGGGACAAGCATCCAGGCAGGGGAGCGGGAGGTGCGGGCGCCCGGAGGTGGCGGTGAGATTGTCCTGTGGGAGGGAGAGCAGCGCCCGCCGGAGCGGGGTGGGGCGGTGCATTCTCGCGTGAGCTTCAGCCGTTTCGCTGGCCTTCTCCTGGGCCTAAGTATGGGCTCGCACGGCTCCCTGCTGATGCACCGACCTCAGCCCTAGCCCCCGACTTCCCACGACAAGGACTGGGTCCCGCCCACTTTCTTTCCGCCTCCCTCAGAGCAGAGCAGGGCCAGGCCTGCCCGGTCCTGGGGAGACAGCTGCCGAGTGGGGGTGCGGGACAGTGTCCGGATGGACACAGTGCCCGAGCTCCTCTGCTCAGGACGCCCTGGAGGACAGGCTCCACCGCAATGCGGGGGAACCAGAGAACGAGGGGTGACAGGTGGGGGGGGCAAGGGGAGGCCCGGGACGGCAGCGCCTGGGCACCGAGAGCGAGGCCCCCAAGGAAGACAAGCTGGTAAACCTCCTGAAGCGTCCGAGGGCGTGGGAAGGGCGCTCGGAGCTCAGACAGGATGTGAAACAAAGGAGGACTGTGGTGAAGACCTGGAGCGATCGCTGCGCAAAGCAGCGTCTTAACACACACCGCCGCGGGCGCACACCTGGGGGCTGGGGGCCCCGCCAGGCCCGTGTCCCCGTGGCGTGCGATTCCCAGCTGGGCCCGTGGGATGTCGCAGCTGCCAGCCCAGCTTCCCGAGCCCCCTAACGCGTGCCGCTGCGCCCCCTCCACCGCCACCGCACCCTGGAGGCGTGCTGACAGCACATACCCTCTCTGTGGCCGCGGCACACCGGGGACAGTCGGCGGCTGCCGAACGGACGCGTGCGGGCGCGGATGCCTTCCACAGCGACCGCTCGGCGTTGGTGCTGGCTAAAGAGCTGGCGGACTCTCCAGCTTGAACGACGGCAGGTCTTCTACCAGCACCTACCAGCACCACCCTCCCCCTGAGGGTGGAGTGACACTTCCCCGTCCCGGTGGTTGCGACGAACTGAAACTGGCACGGGAAACACAAAGCTTTGCAAGTCGTGGGCACCTGATAAGGATGTTTACCCCTTCCACCCCCTTCCTCCCCGGCGAGAGCGGCCTCCTCTCCTCCAGCTGCTCCTGCAGGTCGGCGCCCCACGCGTGGGACCCTCGCCACGAGCGGACACCCTCACGTTGTAGAACGGGCGCATCAGACCCGTGAGGACACTGAGGTCATGGCTGAGAGGAGGCTCAACTTACTGGGGTAAAACCGTGAGTCAACTGAAAAACGCGTCCGTTATATAAACAGGCGCCTGCGTGCTGTCAGACGGGACCAGGGTCAGGGAGCGGGCGCACGCGTGACTGGCGTGGGGAACGCTTGGCCTCATGGCCTTTTGCATTTCCAGGAATTCCCAACCAGCAGGAAGGACCAGAGCCACTGTGGCCGGTCCCTCTGTGCCGGGGTTAATCCTGAGGGGGGAGCGGACCCAAAGGAATTGGTTATTGTTCTCATGAATCGTCACGGGAATATCGGAAAGGCTGGGTCACCCGCTGGCGGCTCTGGCGGGGGACAAGGGCTGTGTCAGCGTCCGGGCACAGGTCGGTCTAACGGGACTGAAACGTCTCTCTGCCCGTACGGCATCGGCCTTCCAGGGCACAGCTCTGTCCCCTTCCATTGCCGGCAGGAGGATGCGAAGTGCCAGGGTTCAAACCCAGACCAGAGGTTTAGAGTATGCTCTCCGCCCACTTGTATCTTGCTCTTTCCCGCCTGCTGTGCCTGGAAGGCACCCAGGGGGCTTTTAAAGTAGAGGTGGGCAGAGGCCTGGGCTCCGAGTCGCATGTCCGCAGCCTCTCCTGACTGGGCACTGGGTTTCCCAACAGGCTGGGGCCTGGGGCCTGGGGCCAGGGGCCTGCGGGGCAGGCAGAGGGACACCTCTGTTGTCACGCTTGTTCTCCTAAACTCACCTTTGTACACGTTATTTCCTTCCTCCATCGTAGGAAGAAAAACACTCGGTGACATTTTCCACGCTTCATCTTCTTCCTGCTAAAGCAGAACAGGGTTGTTGTGAGTCACAGGCACAGCGTACCTGCCGAGGCTGGACGGCAACAGGCACATCCACTGTGGCTGCTGTCCCCGCGGTCGAGCACGCAGGCTCTTCCACGGTTTGTGGAGCGAGGGCCGGCCCCTGCCCACCCTCCTGGGCAGCGTGCCCGCAGGCCGGTCTGACAGCGTGGCCAGGGCGTGCCCGGCTCGGGAGGCGCCCCTGAGACTGGCTCTCTGTGTCAGCCACCCCGCCGGTGGCCCCCCGGCCCTGAGTTTGCGCCTGTCCCTTCCCTTCACCCTGTCCCATGAGCCGGCTTTGAAGCTGCCCATTTGCCCTGCCACGTGCCACCCTGCGCCTGGCTACTCCCTGCCCTCGCCTGCCTGCCCGTCCCGGGCCACAGCGCCACCCCGAGGCCCAGCGCCCTTCCCGGAGCCCAGGCCCCGCGCCCCTGCGAATGCCGCTCTCCGCGGTCCCTGCTGCGGCCTCTGTGCAGCCGCCCCCAGCAACGTCCCCTTGGCCCCCATGCCGCCGTGCCCAGCGGCTCCCAGCAGTGACAACCAGCCCTCGCACACCCTCATTTGGCGTTTCTGGGCAGCGACGGTTCTCCTGTGTGAAGCGTCAGGGGCCCGGCGATGCCACCGCGGTGGCTGTCCCCCACTGGCGGCGGCACAGGATTGCTGCGGTCAGCCTTGCGTCCACGGGCAGCTTCCCGAAGCCCGGGGCGCTCTCCCCTCCGCTGAGAGGAGGCGCGGCCCCCAGGCGGCGGGTGCCTCCCCTGGGCTGCCTCTGGGGCAGCACTGACAGGCACGGGCGCGGCCCTCCTCCCTGGGACACCGCGCCCACACGCCGTGGTGGTCCTGTGGCGCCCGGGTGCTGGCTCCCTCCTACCCTCCTGCTTCCCTGCCCCCACGGCCGGAGGGGACGGGGTGGCCGGGACCAGAGCGCGGCGTGTGAGAGCCTCGAGGGGGGCTGGGGGCTGGCGGACCGGCCACGCAGGGCCTGCCTGGAACCACGCTCTCGTCTCAGGCGGGGCCCTGCGGCCGCGGGGGAGGCCGCCTGCCTTGCAGGGCCTGGGAGGGAACCCGAGCGCAGAGACGCCAGGGGCGCGGAGCCCCTTCCAGGGCCCACCGAGCTCCCTGTGGAGACGGCGCCCCTCAGTGCCCGGGGCTGGCTGCTGCCGGCCCCGACCCAGGCGCTTGAGAAAAACCCGCGAGAGCAGCAAGAAGACCGGCACTGGAGAAAGCGAGTCCTTGCAGGGAAGAGCTCGTACCTGCAGGCTTTAAATAACTCTCATCAGTATTCTCTGAGATGTCGTTCACCCCTCTCTCCTCAGGTGTCCCTGAGGACTCGTGGTCTCTGACCCACTTCAGTCACCGTGTTGCCAACCATGACGACCGTTCCGGTTCCTGATACTCAGATTGTCCTGTGTGCGGCCTCTGGAGGCCCCGTGGGTGTGGGTGTGAGTCTGCGCATCTGTGCGGGGGCGGGGGTGCCCCAGGTCAGCAGCGGGGAAAATGCTTTCAGCCGGCGGAACGCGTGTGTGACGTCTGGGCTGGGAAGCCCGCGTTCGTTTGCGTAGCTGGACGCTGAGCATGGCAGGCATGTGCCTGGCAGGCTGAGCAAACAGGCCTGAGGCTGGGGTTGGGGGGAGGGGACACGGGCCTCCAAAGGCCTCTGGGCCGCCTTCTTCAGAGCTCGAACTTGGTTTGAGAGCGAAGCAGCTACCCCGGGGTTCGCGCAGGAGCCGGGCGCGGATGGGCCTGCTGGCGGGGCGGCTCTCGGCCAGAGAGTGGGAAAGGCCGGAGGGGAAGGTTGGGGGCCCGCCTTCTCTCTGACCAGACCCCATTTTCCCGTCTTCCTCTGCAGAAAGTTCCTCGTGGGCCTGAGGAAAACGCCCCCTCCTCTGTGAAGCCGACCTGGGTTGCCCCAGGTAAACGGCCTTCCCATGGCTCAGGAGGATGCGCCCAGGCTTCCTGGCACCTGCGTCTCTGAACAGGCCCCTGGCTGTGCACACGCGTCCTCACTGCCCTCCTGGGCGGAGGCCCAGGGGCAGGGTCCTGTTGCGCTGACCTTCCGCGCCCCACACGGACCCGGCCCCACGGCCACTCCCTAAGCAGGTGCTCCAGGCACGGCAGTGAGAGTGGGGCTGCTTGGTCTGTTTGCACAACTTTATTTCTATAATAGACGTAAGTTCTCGAGGGAACAGGGCAGTGTGTTCAGGAACCGCCTGGTCCTGGCAGCCTGGAACACCGCCGCGTGCTGACACTCCTGTGGCGCGTCGGGCGCAGCCTCCGCGGGGCTGACGTGGGTGGCGGTCACGGGAGACGCCCCTTAACTGTGGGCAGGACCGCGGTGCTGGAAGCGTTTGCTTTCTTTCCAAAGCCATTTCTTCCCGGGTCCATAGTCCCTGAAGGTTGTCGGACGTATCCTTCCTTCAGTTGCTGTTTTAACCATCGAATATTTTGTTCTTATTGACAAATCCTGGGAGGGGGAGATTCCGCAAGGAGGTTCCAGGCCACCACCTCAGCCTCAGTCTCTTTTCTGGGGTCTTTTACTGTCACGGGTCTGGTAAGTCCACCGCCTTCCGGCAGGTCAGCAAGGCCACAGGCGGTCTCCCGAGCTGGGTTTGCCGGAGACGCCCCGACGGTTCGCTGGGAGCAGCACCTCCAGGGGAGAGGGGGAGGGGGCAGTGCTGGGCGGAGGGGGCAGCAGCTCTCACGCCGTCACGAGGGGGCCGAGGAGCTGGGGGCCCTCAGAGTTGTCCTGGTGAGGGGAGGGCTGGGTCTTTGTCCCCGCGTGTGACTTACCCTTGGGTGCAGCTGCCCGGCGGGTGGCGGGTAACCCCTCGTGGGCCAGCTCTCTTAGGCCGGAGGTCAGAGCGACCTTCTGGCAGTCGGGGACTGGGCGCCTGGGTCCCCACCTCGGCATCCACTGCGCGGGTGGTGCCCAAAAGGAGCGGTAAGGGGTCTTCTCTCACCCCCAGCGCCACGGCCACCCCCGGCCCCACCGCACAAGGCAAGACCTGGCCCGAACCACAGTTTGGACTCTGACTTGCTTTGGAGAGTGAGAAACAAACACTTCTGTGAAAAGTACATCCAACACGTGAGTATTAAGCGGCAGACCTGAAGGACCGCGCTCCGGCTGAGCGGATGAGCCGTGTGACTCGGCAGCGGTCGCGCGTGTGCCGGGCGGCTTTCCCCGTGTCCGGCCCCAGGCGGGGCGCGTGGGGCCGTTTACCTGGAGGAGTGAAAACCCAGAGCGGACACACACGGGGCTTAACCTCGGACGTGTCCGAGCTGTTGAAACCAGTTGTTACCCGGACAGGTATTTACAAATCACAGAAAAGGAGGCACCCGACGGTCGGTCAACATGAGAACACCCCGGAACACCGCCGGCAGGCAGCGTGGGTTCCCCGCGAACGCGCGGCTGCCGTCTCAGCAGAGTCCACGACATCCCACTGCCTCAGGGCAAAGGGGCAAGAAGCCTTAAATTTCTAAAATCCCAAATTCCTTACCTTATCTTTTTCTTTGGTTTCTTTCTTTTCCTTAGGTGTTTTGGCTTTCTTCTCCTGTTTCTTATTTTTCTTCTTTTTGTTTTTTTCCTCTTCTTCTTGACTCGCAATAATATCATCAATAACCTGGGGAAAGAGCAAAGCAGCGACAGCGTTTGACCAGAGCCCTCTCAGGGTGAGGGCCGCTCTTCCTGTCTGAGGGACGGGGTGGCGCTGGTCCGTCTCCCGCCCCTGCCCCGCTCTGGGCCCCAGACGCTGGCGCCTCCTGGGGGCACCGTGGGGCCCCGCCGGCCCTGCCCGCAGGCGGATTCCCCCGTGGGGGCGGCAGGCGGGTCTCCGAGGGCAGAGGGGGAGGGAGGCGCGTCGCAGAGCCCGGCTGCTCCCTGAGGCAGCGCTGCTCTGACCCCCAGGGGCCCCGGGACGCGAGGGGAGCCCGAGGCGCCCCCCACAGCACAGCCGTGGCCTCCGCGCCGGCCCTGTCCGTGCGTCTTCCCCAAATCCCGGCGGGGGACGCCCTCGTTTCCTGCTGGACTCCGACGGTGACAGGTGCTCTGGGGGTCACACCACCTGCCCGTGAACGACCACGCGTCTTCTCAGAGTTGTTTCCCTCCCCTGTGATTTAATTCGTAGTCTTTCAGTGGCCAAAACCCATTTACTCCTCTACAATTTAAAATATTTGTTAAGTAGTACCTGGTTCACGTGGGATTAGCAACACAGAAGAATCAGTAAGGTCCGCAGAAAGCCATACAGTTCAGTTCAGTACAACAGGCGTCCGACGAGCTCTCGCTCGCTGTGACAGAGCTAAGAATTCTGGGAGCTGGGAGGGTGCCGGTGACGGGACACACGCCCCGTCTGGCCCTCAGGCTCTCTGCTCATCATCAGCCATGGGATTGAGACAAGCCACACAACTGATCTGAGACTCCGTGTCCTCGGCTCTGAGACGAAGCGCCCATGTCTGTCTGTCCGTCCACACACAGCCCTGGCGACCTGCAGGGGGGGCTCTGAGAGCCTCACAGGGACGCACCCCTGTGCTCTCACACACAGCCCACGGGCGGAGCTGTCATCGCCCCATGTTACTGAAGAGGGGACTGAGGCAGAGAGCTCAGTGGCCTGGCCGAGGACACAAGGCCAGGAAGCGGCAGAGCTGCGATTCAATCAGGGGCATTTCATTGCGTAGGAGCAAAGGGGTAAGAGGAGAAACGGCATGTGAGCACTCGTCCTGTGGCGTGAAACACGCGGAGTTAAACGAGCCTCGTAAAGGAATGACAGACACCCACTTCAGGAGGGCGGTCCCCTCTGCCGAGCGAGGCAGGCAGGCCGTGCCACAGGGCCAGCGGTGCCGCGCCTCTCACGGGCTGCACGAGACCACCCCGGGGAGGCGGCGAGGCTCCCTGGTCCTGCCGCGTTCGCCTTTACTAAAGTGCTCACGTTTAGTTGCCAGGATTATATTTTTGATGTTTATACCTACATTGTTCTTATGAGCTTCGTTCACACCTTTGAAAGTACGAAAAGCAGCTTCATCATGAACAAAGCAGGCGATTCGGGGACCACCTGGCCTTAAAAAAAAAAGCCCCAAACAAAACTGTGGCCACGTGCGCAGCTCCACACCCCGGGGCCCGCCCGCCCCAGCTCTGTGACGTTTGGGGGGCGGGGGCTCTGAGAAGGGCACAGGGAGGTGAAGGTGACGTAGGTGCTGTGCACGTTTTTTGGTCAAAAAGGGGAGTCTTTGGGCAGGATTAACAGTCCCTTGTCAAAAGAGTGATGTTTCCTCAGGGATCAGGTTCGCCTCAACTCAAATCAAATCGCGGCTGCGCAGGAGCGTTCTGTCCCGAAGCCCTCAGGGGGCACAGATGTCTTTTTGGTTCTTGAAGGCTTGGAAACTTTCAGAAATGTCAAGACTTTTTAAAAACATATATATATATATATATATATATATATATATATATAAATGTGAGCAGTTGAATAACAGATGAAATCTTTCTTTGCAGAGCATACAATTTAGTTTATCCTTTAAAGCCTTATCAGCTGTGCCATGTATTCCCTCTATATTAATTTACTTTTTGGACAGATGATACGTTTACATGGTTCACAATTCAGAAACGACGGAAGAGCTCGTAGTGAAAGGCATCCTCCCCGGGCTGTGGGCCAGCCAATGAGATCCGCTTTCTAAAGCCAACTCCGATACCTGAGATGCGCTTCCGGAGCCACTGAATACAGACACGTGCCAGTGCGCAAGTGTGAGCGCGCACAGCCTATACATAAAGCGCACGAGCGTCATTTGCCAGTCATGTCTGGGAACAGCGATACGTGACTGTGGCTGCCCATTTTTAAGCCAACCTCCTGAATTTATCTTGCTTATGCTCTCCGACTATAGCAAAATCTTCCAAAGTGCACACGATGTGCAGATCGTACACACGAATACCTTTGGTGTTTTGTAGAAAAGTTAGCCTATTGTGCACACTGTCCTTGCTCTGCATTTTTCTCCTAACCCCATAGCTTAGCCACGTCTCCCTAGCGGTACAGGAAAGGCCCCCTCACCCATTTTAAGGTAGAGGTGCCATAACTTGTTTGACACTGTTGCTACCAGTGCACAGGTAGGTTGTTTCTGATTTTCCGCTGTCGCCAACAGCGCTGCCGTGAATCAGCGCATGCAAACGTCACCATGTGGCTGTGTGAGCCCGTCTGCAGGGCAAGCTCCTAAAAGGAGACATTCTGGGTCAAGTGCATGCCTACTTATTGTCAAATGGACAGCCACCGGGCAGCCGGGCAGCGACTGCTTGTTTGTCCACACGCTCACCGACACGGTGCTGTGTTTGCCAACGGAGGGGGCTGAAAAATAGCACGTCGCTGCGGTTGTCCTGGACGGGTTTGGTTTTGGATGCCGGTACTGAATTTATTTTGCTTATTCTCTTCAACTATAGCAAAACCTCCCAAAGTGAGAAAGGCACTTCATGGCCTATTCAATCAGCCATTATTATTTTTATATTTTTGGTAAATTAGGGGGCTTATTGGCCAAATCTGGCCTGTCCCCTGCTTGTTTAAAAGATACATATATTTAACTTCATTGAGGCACATTTTGCACACCATGCATTTACCCATTCCAGCACACGATTCATTTGTTAGTACACTTACCAAGCTGCAACCAGCGCCAGCTGAGTTTTGAACGTTTCCTTGCTGCATGAGGGCTCCCTCCCGCGCACTGACCACGATCCGATCCCGTTCCCTCCCCCTCCCGAAGCAAGCGCGAGTCTCCTCTCTGCCTCTACAGACTGCCTTTCTCCGGACTTGCATACAAGTGGAATCACGCAATCCGGCGTCTTCAGCCGGCCAGCCGGGTCTGGCCAGCCTCACGAGCACCATGTTTTTGAGGCTCCTCTGCACTGTAGTGTGTCAGCTGCTTGTGCCTTCTTTACAGCTGAATGCACCCCATTGCATGGACGTACCACATTTCACCTCTCCGTCCACCGGGTGACGGGCCTTTAGGTTGTTTCAAAGTCCTCACTATTATGAGTAATGCTGCTGTGAATATTCACGTGCCATTTTTGTGTGTGTGGACATGTTTTCATGTCTTTTGGATAGAGTCCTGGGTGTGGAGCTGCTGGGTCATCTGGTGAATTTATGCTGAACTGGTAAAAAAGTGACAGGCCTCCGGCAGCAGCTCGTGTCCCCACCCCCGGCAACGCGTGAGGGCCCGCTGCCCTGCCCCCCCGGCACGTGCACGTGGCCGCAGTTATTCCAGAAGGCGAGAATCTTTCGGGCAACAGCCGCCCCCGGCGGTATAAAATGGTTCCTCTTTGTGGTTTGAATTTCCATTTTTCTAATGACTAATGACGCGGAGCATATTTTCACGTTCTTATTAGCTATTCACGTATCTTTTGTGTGTGTGAACTGTCTATTCCAGCCTTTTGCCCAATTCCCAGTCGGCTTGTTCGCCTTCTCATCGCCGCGACGTCAGGGTGCTTTGTCTCTTTGGGTGCGAGGCCTTTGTCAGGTGTGTGTTTTGAAATATCTTCTCCCGGTCTGTTCTTGTTCTTGCCTCTGCATTTTCTTAATGCCTTTGAAGTGCAAAAGTTTGAATTTTGATGAGCTTCCACCGTCAGTTTTGCCTGCATTGTAGCTTTAATTTGCATTTCTCCTCCATGTGTGAGGCTGATCATCTTTTTACATGTTGAACATCTTTTATTATGTTTCAAATGCCTTCAGATTTTCTTTTCTGTGAACTGGCTGTTCATACCCCTTGGCTGTTTTTTTTTTATATTGGGTTATTGATCTTTTTCTTATAGAGCGGTAGGAGCTCTTTATATGATTAGAAAAGTGATCTCCTATCTGTGATACTTATTACAAATAATTCTCCCAGTGTGCCACCTGACATTTGACTTTACTTGGGGCTGGTTTTGCCATGCAGGTTAAAACTATTTTTTTGTGTGCAGCTTGATTTATCATTTTTTCTCCGATGCCTGGGTTGTGCAACAGAGGAAGAAAGGCCTCGCCCGCCCTGAGGCGATGACACCGTTCTCCCTCGGCCTCTTCAAGTCCTTTTGTCTTTGCGTTTTGTTTGACACTGAAATCTTTGATCCATTTGAAGCCGTTCTGGTATAAAGAGAGATTTAATTTTCTTCCTTTTCAGATGACAACCTGGTTATTCCAGTACCGCATATTAAATGGTCTTCTTTTCTTCTTACACAAGAAAAGAGAGAGGCCACGTTTCCCATATTTTGCCATGTATAGTGCACACCCACATTTTTGTGCACATTGTACACGGGCTTATTATACCCATTATTATAGCCATGGGATGCAATCATTATACCCACATACAACGCACATCCTTATTTTTTCTTCAAAAATTTGGGCAAAAAGTGCACATTATACACAGCAAAATACAGTATTATGTACTACATTTCCATATGTATTTGCGTAGATTCTTGATTTTCCATTCTTTTCCACCAATGGGTCTTTCTAGTCATTTGTTTGTACCAATGGGCCCCTAATAACAGGTTTTAACACCTGGCAGAGCTAATTGCTCCTCATTACACTTTGCTTTCAGAATTTAACTGGTTTTTCTGGGTTATTGAGTTTCTACTTCAAGTTTAGAACCGGGTTGGTCCCCCCCTTGCCGCGCCCCCTTCCTGTGCCCCTGCCCCCGCCATTCTCCGACATACTCACTGCGCCCCCCACCGGCGCTTTTCTGGGGTCCTAGGGCTTTCATCAAAGAGGCTGGGGCGGCTGAGGCATCCCTGATGCTGGATAATCCTACCTGAGGATACAACGCGCCTTTTCATCTTTTTGTTTGCATCTCTCAGAATGTTTTAAACTTTCATTCACGTAAACACACACTTATTATTAAGTTTAGTCCCAGGCATTTTATCTTTGTATTGTTGTAAATGGATCCTTTTACTGTATTTTCCAGCTAGCTGCTGTTTGTACCCACTAAAGCTATTGCTTTCTGTATATTAATTTTCTTATTCCCCCATCTGGCTTCTCCTGTATTTTAAAGTAGCTTTTCAGTTTATTGTCTTTGCTTTTGTAACTATAGGACGTGTTCAAAAAGCGATCATGTTGTCCCTTCCATCCAATCCCTGCATCTCTATGGTCTTCCTTCTAATAGTGCTCAGTAGGTCCGATGGGACAAGGGTGACAACGTCCAGCCACCCTGGTATTTTTCCTGACATGAGTGAAAATGTTTCTAGTGGATTCCATTAAGCGTCACATTGGCTTTTGAACTAAGATGGAAATATTTTGTCATGTAAAAGAAGTATCCATTTATTCCAATTGCTTTGTTTGATTTTTTGATATCAAGAATGGATGGAGAGTTTGTCAAAGGCCCCTTCGGCACCCACGGTGACAAGCGCGTGGTTCTTGCGTTTGAGCCTCTTCAGGTGACGCAGTGTACGTGCGCACCCGAGTTTGAAGCGTCCTTGCGTTCTGGAATGACGGTGCCTGATGGCGGTGTTTTGCTTATGTAACGTGATGTTGGTTTTCAGTGTGCAAATGTTTTGCTTAAATTTTGGCATGAATACTCGTAGCGAAGACTGATCTGGGGCTCGATTTGTGCTCCATCTTTTTGGGGCTTAGTATCAATGCGATTATGTTCATTTCCTACGAAAGCATCTGTACTATTTTTACCCTTTACCAACATAAACATGACTACTTAGGTACATCGTTCTAATGATCAGGCTTGGCCAACCTCTTCATCCTCCTACGACTGACATCTGTAACAGCTGCTGAAGCTTTCACAGCTGTTTTCAGTGCACAAATCACCTCTAATCAGTACATCGGCCGGGTGGCGGGTGCGCTTGGGGCTCCAGGTGTGGAGGAGAGACAGGGAGGCAGGGGACCAGCTGGCCTCAGCCTGCGGGCCCGCAAGCGGGGAGCTGCGGCCTCGCTCCACGGCCCGCCTCGCCCATTGTCTGCCCGGGGGCCCCTCGCATTACGTTAATTATTAGCCAGACATCCTTGGTTCTCTTTTGTTTTTAGTCAGACTAGATGTTAACTCTGCTTTTGGATGTTTCTCATGCACGATTTAGACATTCCGCCGACATTCTTAATCCTGTAATTGTTACCTTTCTACACTGACGTGAGGCATGCTTGGCTGCTGGCCACAGACTTTCAAGACAGGGCTTGTGCCTGACATTTTTGATGTTTAGGTCTTGACCCTTCAGCTGAAGTGAAGCAACACGAAATCCACATGACGGTCACCCAGGCAGGGCTTGGTGACCTGCCAAGTGAGAGGGAGGACAGTAAGTGTCCGCCGAGTTCCCAGGAGGAAGACTGGAGTCTCCTGGGTGGAACGGAGGCCCTGGGGGCGGGCGGGCCCCGGCCACGGCGGGGTGGGGGTGAAGAATGGCGCCGCTGATGAGAGCGGGCCTGCGTGTGCGGGGCGCGCGGGGGACAGCCGGGACAACGGAGCCCGTGCAGCGCAGCTCCGGCCGCCCCCGGGCCTCGGGGCTCTCCGCTGGTTCCCTCCTGGAGGACGGTGTCCCGTGTTCTGCTCGGTTGACACTATAAATGGGGCAGGCGTGAGCTGCGTTTTCAAGGTCCACAGCCAGGCTCAGTGAGTGGCAATGCAGGGCCAGACCCACGCCCGCCCGCTCGTGTGTGCCGCGCCTGTGTCTGCTTTCACGCCCTGTGGCAAAGCCGAGCGGCTGTGGCAGGGACGCATGCTCCCCGGGCTCACACATCTACTGTTGGGCCCCTTTATGGAAACAGTTCGTTGATCCCAGTCTATGGCAACTTGTCTTACTGTTTCTTTAGTGTAAATTCCTTAAATAGCATTTATTGATCAAAGGGATACAGATTAAAATTTTTGACATTTACTTAGACCATGTCCCTCAAAAAATGTTATGGTAATTGATGTGCCCAGCAGCAACGCCGGAGAGTGGTTTTCCTCCCCACAAGCTTAGAAATTCCAATTGTTATCATGATTTCAAATTTTTACGAATCCTATGTGTGAAAAGAGATATAGTAACAATATTTTATATTTAAATTTCTTAGTGACTTATAAAATTCCTTCTATTAAATTTCTGTGTGTATTCTTTGTCATTTTTCTACTGAGGTGTTCCTATTTTTCTTACCCCTTTCTAAGAACTCTGCCTACGAGAGACGCCTATTGTGCCCTGTGTGATCAGTCTGTTCTTTCCCCAACACCACGATGTTTTAATCACTTCAGCTCTTAATTTGGTTTATGTTCAGTGGGGCAAGTTCCCCAAGATTATAGCCCTTTTTCAAAAACTTTTTGCCTATTTTCATGTACTTATTCTTCCATATAAACTGGAGAATAATTTTGTCAATAAAGTTGCTTTGATTTGATTGGAATTGCACTGACTGTACAAAATAATGGAAACATAATGTTTATTTGTACTTTATTGAATCTTTTCAGGGAAATAATCCATCAGTCTATTTGTTCAAGTCTTCTTTCAAATTCTTCAGTATAATTTTGTCAATATAATTCCGTACAATTCTTTATAATATGTCATTAGAGTTTTTGTTATTTATTGTGTTTTCTAGGAAGATAATCACATAATCTAAAGACAATGACAAAATTATCACTTTAAAATATTGATAACTCCTTTTCTTTTCCTTATCGCATTTGACAGGTAGTTGGAACTCACAGGAAAATATTAGCCAGTAGTTCTGCTAGCAATGGCTTTTTCTTGCGTTCCACTTTTGAGGGCAATAACGCCTCTCCCGATTCACGGCGGAGAACAATGCCAGCCTTCTCTGGGTTTCTCTCATAAATACTCTGAGATTAAGAAAAGTTTTCCTCTTTCCAGTTTATTAAGACATTCCGAAAACTAGCTTTCGAGATCAATTTCATCCAATGCCAGGGAGCATCGACCGAGACAGTCAAATGGCAGCGAGCGGAGCCTCGGTGGGAGGGGGACCGGAGCCGAGGACGATGGGTGGGCTGGCCCCCGGGAGCGCGGCGTGTGAGGGCAGGAGGGTGGCAGCAGCTCGAAGCGGGGGAGGGCGAGAGGCGAAGGGAGTCACTGCGGTGACCATGGGACAGGAGGTGGGCAGGGGCAGGAACATTAGGGCCCAGAAACCAAGCTACTCAGCATCTACGGGGAAGATGCGCACCACACGCTCTCGCCTGGAGGGGGTATATTCTTTCTGAAACAAATTCGAAAGTACATGCATTGACGAACATCAGAAGCATTTTCATGTAAACAACTTGTAGAAAAACAGCCATGAACTATCAACTTCAAACTTTAAGGGAATGTAATCATGATATATTTACATTTTATTTCTCAAGCCATATTTGTACCTGTTGTGGGGTCTTGTTTGAAAAAAGGACAGTGGAACCGCCTTCTTCTGCCGTAGGGTAGTCGGGAAAGGTGCCGGTTAAGTTCCTGCAAAGGAAAAAAGGCACATTAAATAGGAACGATCGCGGTCCTCTCTGCTAGAGCCCCTTAGCTGGCTCTGCTTCTGTTTGTCTCGCGGAGTGGCAGCTACCGGGCGGGGCTCCGTGCCCGCCCGGGCGGCACGGGGTCTCTCGGGAGCCCAAGGGTCAGGCTGCCCCGGGGAGGAGTCATTCCTCTCTCTTTAAAACAGATTATACGTCTCCTCCTCTTTTTTCCTTTGAATTATTGAGGTGCTCTGCACTTGAGTTGAGAATGAAGACAGAAGCACAAATCACTTCTTCCTGTTTAACGCGGAGGATAAACACAGGCGTTTGACACCGAACAGAAGGACGGCGGTGCTCCAGTCACACGCGCGGGAGCCGGGCCTGAATCGCGCGCGCCGGCTCGCGCCTCCGCGGCTCTCAGGCCTGCGCTCGGTGGGCTCCAGCGGTGACTGACTTTCGCCGTAGCCATCCGATTTCTGTGGTTTAAAAGGCAGGCTTCTGATTGGAGGCTGAGGGACTTCAGAAGAAATAGGTGGCACTATTCCCAGAAGAGACGGACTTTGATGCAAGTGTCGTGTTTATTCCACCCGCAGAAACAGGAGGTGACCGCGTTAGTTCCGCGGACACCCAGCAGCGTAGAACCCGGGGGCCAAGGGCCATGGTGTCTGAAGTGACCCCACTGCAGTGAGCAGTGGTTCTCAAGCTTCCGGCCTTGGGAGCCCTTTACACCCTGACACCGTCTTCCAGGACCCCAAGGAGCTTGTAAGATGTGTGTTATTGCCGTTGGTATTTACCGCATTAGATAGTAAAACCGAGGAATTCCTAAAATGTGCATTTTAATTCATTAAAAATTACATTAATAAACCCATTATGTTCATGCAAGTGTCGCTTTTAATGACTAATATATTTCCCCGATCAAAAACAATTAGCGAGAGTTTCTGGTTCTGCATCTTCGAAGTCCCTTGGAGGCTGGGCTCAACGGAAGTCAGCCGGCTGCTGTACCGGCTTCGTTGTAGGACCTGTTGCTATGTGTTGCTTTGCTCGAAGCTTTAGGAAGGACATCTGGCCCCCCACAGGTGCGTCAGTGGGACAGGGAGGACCATTTTAATAGCCTTTGGTCAACTGAGAGGATTCTGCTTTGATTCTAGCCCACAGCTAACTGCACCGGTGGTAGCTTCCTAAAGGCTGGGCGAGCTGCGGAATCCGAAACCCTGTCAGAGAACTTTTCCTTCCACGTCACATGGAAACCCCTCGGTCTGTCTTGCATGTGGGACAGGTCTATGCCACACACGATTTTGTCACACCAGGTGTTGGCCATTCGGTTCTCCGAGCTCCGCGCGTGTTCGCAATGCTGACACGTTACCTCGCATCAAAATCACACTCTTGATCAACGCCACCTGCCCCGCTCTCACCGAAAGGCCCAGTAACGGAAGCTCTCACGCTCCCAGAGTGTTAATTTCTGCTAGAAAAGCTCAAGTTTTCCTGTTGGCAGCAAATGCTCTTGGTTGTTTTCCTTCTGGCTCACTGGGGTCATTTCTGAGAAAATGTCTCCCCCAAACCCAACTCTGAATAGCCAGTTTGCTGCTTGTTCCCTGCCCCCTCGCCGCAAATGAAGGTGACATCCCGTACAAGGTGGCGAGCTGACGTCCACGCCGGACAGCCTGCGGGCTCCCTTCTCCGACGGCGGCGCGCGGTGTGCCGCGGAAGGTAGGCGTGCCCGGGCCCTGCCGATCCCGTCTCACGGAACATCAGAAAGCTGTGCACCCGGAGGCCACACTCAGCGCGTTAATGACCTCTTACTGCGTCCTCAAGGACCTTGTCAACGGAGCCTTTCTCTGCAGGTGCGTGACAGCAGGGACCACTGCGAAACCGAACGGGGGGCCTCTGCCGCGCCCTCCGATGCCCCTCCCCGCCCCGCCCCCCGCGGTGTTCAGGTGCAAATGTCAGGCTCCGTGGCTCAGTCATCACAGGGAAAGAGCTTGACTCTTGGATCCAGAAGGGCCTCGGAGACCCCCGAGGTCATGGACACACTTTGAGAACCACTGCTCAGGTGTCTCCACGGCGGGCACTGGCCCTCCTGGGTGGCCCCTCTGCTTGCAGGCCCTCCGCCGGGGCTTGGGGCCCTCTGTGGCGCCGGCCCAGCTGCAACCTGACTCCTGGTTCTTGTTTCGCCTCAGGGACAGGCCGAACTTGCTTTCTTTCCCTTCCACGTGACAGCTTTCAGACATTCCGGGCAGTTCCCTCACAGTGGGGACTGGGTGGCTCAGGCCTCTGGCATCTCGCCTGGGGGCTCACCTGTGCACACACGGCCCAGGCCCTCGGCGCCGCGTGGGAGGGGCTCAGCCCGAGGCAGCACGCGTGCGCGTGTGTGCAGGCGGGGGGTGGGGCAGTGGGCGGGTGGACAAGTGCGCCAGCAGCGGAGGTGGCGGTGAGCGCTCACCGGGCGTGACATCCTGTCTGTGCCGCTACTGCCATCGCAGCTACTAGGCGGATCTACACACTCTCCCCCCGCCCCCACTCATCGATCCACCCGCCGCCTGCTCATCGTTTCCATTAACCCGTCTCCCCTTCCATTTGTTCACCGTCGATCGACAAGCCCTGCTCAGTGCCACCTCGGCTCTGGATGCAGGGCCGGCGGGGGGGCGGCAGCCTGCGCACTAAAGGATGCCGACCGCGCCCTCGTGGAGCTCGCATTCCACGGTCTCACTGCACAAGGCTTGGCTGCCGCGGACGCTGGCCCTGGACGCTGCTCGCCCACAGGTCGCACCTCCCACCGTGTGAACGGCCTGACCGCGTCTTGTCTTGCCCTGCGTGGAGCGCCCGGCGGCGTCCTGGCTGAAGGCTCACAGTGCCCCAGGCCCTCTCCTCTGGGGACCCCGGCGCCCTGGCCCTTCGCTGGCGCCCTCCAGGCGACTCGCTGCGCCCGTTTGTTTCCTCCTTTGAAAGCCTGGATGGCTGTGAAGACTCACAGCAAAGCTAGCGAGTCACAGAAACCAGAAACGGAAAGGATTTACATGTTCCGTGTATACAGTGGGGTTCTTAATTATGTCCCACATCACTTGTCACAGTAAGATGTAGTAACAAACGTCTCATAGTACTTTTTGCAAAAATAGTATTAAATACATTTATTTAATACCATTAATAGAAAAGTGAAGATACTGAGTTCTTCATAGTCACAATAGTTCAAACGATTACTAACCTGACACTGAATTAGTCTCATCCTTAAAGAATGTAGAAACTGTAGTGGGGTACACATTTAAAAGATAAATTTTAAAATCCGTGTCCAGAAAACGACCGTGTCAACTGACAGCTCTTCGTCTTGAGCGTGGACACACACACACACACACACACACACACACACACTCTCGTGCTCCTGCCGTGCCACTCTGGGCTCTGTCCCTCCCAAGCCGGGGGCCTGTCCCCAGGGCAGCTGCTCCCTGCCCGGCCGCATTCCGAGGGGGCCTGGCTCTGCGCCGGCCAGGACTCTGTCCCCGAGACTGGGTCACTTGGCGCGTGCTAAGAGAACACAGTTTCAAGTTCTGTTTGGTATGTCCTTGGCTGCTGGATGTCACCTGCATTTTCAGTGCGTGCTGCCACAGAGGAGGGGACACCGCCTGCCCTCTGCAGTTGGCGAGCTCAGGACCGAGGCACAGCTGCCTGTCGCCGCGCATCGTCGGGCAGCTCCGGGGGAGAGTGCTTCGGTGCTGTGGGCCAGCGCCCGGGCGGGGGTGTGGGGGGGTGTGGGCGGGGACCTGCTGGGAGAGACGCGTGGACAGGGACACCACTGGGGCTTCCCCAGAGTTTCTGGCACAAACTGCCAGGGTGCCAGCACCAAGGCGGGTGACAACCCATCTGGGGACTGCCGGGGGGGTCACCGAGGCCCTCGCGCTGTGAGGCGTGAGTCTGCGAAGCCCAGATGACTTCTGGAATACCGCAAAGGACGAGGCCAAGGGGCCCAGGCCCCCTCTGGCCAGAGGGCTGCCCTCGCCGGAGCTGGCGTGGCCTGGTGGCCCGAGCTGGTGGTCCTGGAATGTGACATCCCTCGGGCTTCTCCTGGGCACCCTGTCTCTTCTACATCCTCTTATTTTAGGGTCTGAGTGCCCTGTTAACCTTGTAATCGTTACAGCGGAATGGGTTCAGTCTTCCTTGAAAACCTCTTGCTTCTGCAGCCGAAAAGCCCGGACCTTCCTCTTGGGGTGTCGGCCCCCGCTCTGCCTCGCGCACGCGCCGCTTTAGCAATTGAGCAGCCTAGCGACCGTGACGGCATTTTCCCATTCTTGTTACTTTTTCCCTCAGTTCATCAAGACGGTGTGCATCCACCTCTGCGCGTCAGTTCCTGGGCTCCTGCTTGGTCTCGCTGACCTATGTGTGTGTCTGCGTGTTAGCCTCGTGCACTTGCCGTATTTTATTCCGTGATGCACTTGAAAACACAGCGCCGTTTGCCCCCCCTCATCGCTCTTACAGCCATCGCAGTGGCTTTCCTAATGAGGTCTCAAGTTCAGTAACTACTCCTGTTGGGGCTTTAACTGAAAGCGTGTTCTCTCTGTAAATCACCCCGCGCACATGCGCTGTCCCGCGTGCACCGCAGGCGGCACGTGCTGCCGCTTCCTCGGGCACTTCCTCATTTCTCCCTTTTAACATTTAGAGGCTGCGCCTTTTCATATGTTTCTCTTCCATAGCAATTCTATCATTGATTTAAAAACTAGGTTTTACCCCTTTTAAAAAAATATTTATTCCTCTTATGTGCTTTATGTCGTTAACAGTAACTTATATTACGGCACAAATTGTTATAGGAGCAAAGGCCACTCATATTGTTCTTTTCTTTCATGGGAAGGACTTCGGTGTTTCCTCATTGAGCGTAGAGATCTCTTTTGTTTTAAAAAAACACTCAATGCTTCATTCACTCCTCCATTTACTCATTTAAAACGCAGTTGCTGAGGGTCCGCCACGCGGTGGGCACTGCTGAGGGCCGGGGAAGGCGGCACACGGAAGCGGTAAAAACCT